CAGTAACAGCTATAATCATACGGGAAATTATGAGATGTTATTAAAAAAAAAAAAAAAAAAAAAATGTTTATAGCCAAGATGATCAGTTAATTTGATTGAACAACACTAAGCAATCATAAGATGAACATTTCAGGTTTTTTTTTTGTCAGTACTAATGCGGTTGTTTGTAGTGGCAGTGTGAGGAATCATGCATAATACAAAATTTTTTAAGATGGTGATAGTGGCAATAACAAACAAGATTGTCAGTTAAATAGTGCCGAACAAAGAACAGCCACAAAACTAATGTTACATGATGGTTAAAGACGGGACAATTTTTAATAATCATAGTGATAATATAGTCGGACCCAGTAGATGTACAAAGAAGGAATAGAATAAAGAATAAAAATGTAAGCCAATGATAATAATTTTAAGCAGCTAAGTATGTTTAAGAAGGTTGTTCACTATAGAGTACAAATAAGAGAGTGTAAGGGGGAAAAAACAAGGGCCAAAATTATGTTATTAACAACAAAGCAAGTCATAGGTTTCACGCCTAACATTGTCTCTGTCACTTAGAACACGGGCCAAATATGGTATCGTTGAGTTCCTATACTTGGTTGTGCGAGCATATATTATTTTATACTGATTTCTGGTTCTACCTGATGAGATGCAAGGAGAGAGTTGGGAATAGAGGGGGTGTTGGGGGTCAGAGAGTATGGTTTTAGACCATTTCTCACATGTATTCAGATGCTTATCCACTAATGTTGTGACGAGCTGACTGAGTTTTACACCGCTAGTCCTACTAACTACCTTCAACATCCTTCTCAGGATAGCTGAATAGCTCTGAATAGCTTTCGACCATCTCTTATATGAATCAGTAGAGTGTGATTAACCTGGCGTAAGTCAAACATGGAAACTGACTGCTTTTAGTACCAATTAACTAGATATCTTAATAGCTCTAATAACGGTCACCTCTCTGAAATTGTTCAGCGAAATCCACTTCCTATTAGTCAGTACGAAAGCGAATACTACCAGGAGGTTGGACTTTCAGTTGAATCCTAGATTGTTTTTGAAGCTAGTTAGGTAATGATAATCCAAAGTTATATAAAAGGATGTACTTGTATATATCATTAAGCATCGACTAGTCTAAAGCAGTACGACAAGAGGAAATGAAGTAAAGCAAAGTATACCAGTAACTGAGAGACCAGTTAGCGTTCAGATCGTGGTCGTAGTAGCTTTGATGAGGGGAGTAACTTCTCCACTACACAAAGTAGTAGTTTCTCTAAAGTCTACCTTTTATACTGGGTGAGAGAAACAAGCTTTAAGCTACTTACAACCTGGCACTAATAAGGTGTCAAACTTTTCGATGCACATGAATTCTTTGTCAGTCGTTATTCAAAATATCTTTCAGTATAGTATAGTCAGAGCGAAAAAATCTTTCCAGAGAGTTTGATACTATCGAATAGAGACATCCTAATTCCATTTTCGTCTCTTTTAATGACTTTGAAGTCTTAACCAACTGACGTTCTGTGGATTCATTCAAATCTTTGAAACTTGGAACGATCACAAAACGACACGTTCATCTTTTCAGTGAAGTTAAATCTGTTCATGATGACGACGCACTGACGACTACGCGACATCTTAGTAAAATATAGAGAGTAGTCGTGTAATAGAGATGTTGAATACACGTGGATATTATCGTCGTTATGTACACGATACGCTTCTGTTGTTTGTGGCTAGAATTTGGATAAACAGTACCTAATGCAAGTCTTCAATGATATTTATCAAGGGAGCATTTACTTTTTGGACTTACTAAAGGATTGGACGGGAATGTACAGGAAAGCGACATAGAAAACGGACAATAAATCCATTTCCATAGTTTCATACTCTACTCATACAATGTAAGCGGAATATAACTGATTGTCCTAGTCGGAGGAGGAGACGCATGTGTACTGAGGATTGAAGTGAAGATGGAATTGTAAATGTCACAAGTGTACCCTAAGAAAAATAAGCGTGTATTCTACCAATTTCGTACAGAAGTATATTTCTGAAAGAACTGATAAAATAAACCGTGATACGGTGAGTAAGAAAAATGCTTTATTTAAGGGTGCTGTTTTCAACAGCCATATATCGAGTGATATACTAATTCACAGGTGGTTAGTTAGATCACAATTGGAAAAGACGTCAGTAGTGAAGAACTGCACGTCAGTTACTCAAGAAGACCACTGCTGATATAATGCACTGAAGGCAAATAATCAATGATGTCCACGACAGTGTTTGTATACAAATTTAACTGCTCATCTGGAGCTAGTTACATAGACGCCACTCACAGGAATATATCTTTACGCATTTGTGAACATGTTCCAATTCGGTTTGGAAAAAAGGAGTAACCAAACTAATCAATGGGGTCATTTCATCTCATCAAGTGGATAGTGAACATCATATCGAAACGGATGAGTCATTTACGGTTGCATATCGATTAGCAGAAAATATCCCTTAAGCTACACAATGTGGTCTCTTGGCCAATGCTCAAGGTATGGGGATTAATAAGAATTAACGTCACCTATTTGTGCGAAAACAGCACATTCATCCTGTTTACCCTGTCCAGCTGTAAGGTCATCAGGGACATAGTCATTTCATATTATGCCCTTCTTTTTCCTTGTCACCTCGTTTTCTTCACACGATTATCGTTATTATTATTATCTGACGACCTCTGGATATACCTTAAACTTGTGTGTACACTTTGTTTTGATCATTACAGTTTATTGTGACTATATTCAGTCTTACACATGTATCCCAATACAGATTCTGATATAATTTTCGTTTGCCTTTTCTGGTTATTTGTATTGTATTACTCATGGATTTTTAACTGTGCAGACTGAAGAGGGTATATTTCTTGACGTGAGAGCGGCATTCAATTCTGTCGACCGAGAGGCACTTTGACGATTTTTGGCTGTGAAGGGAATGTCTAGGAGCACTGACCAGGGCACTCACTTTACTAGAACTCATGCAACCATCCAGGTAAGAGCCTACGGAGAGTTGTCATCTGAGGTGGTGACAACCAGTGGTATCCGTCAGGGATGCCCACTGTTCCAACATCACTTCAATTTGATCATAGATATGCTAATGGAGTAAACCCTTGCCACCAGAAAATAATAGTGTCATTGAGATAGAATATGCAAATGGTATAGTCCTCCCTCATAGAAGAAGACGCTGACAAAATCCCTAGTCTTCTGAACACATTGAGGAGCAGCAATCTTCGAATGTTTGGGGTGCGATTCTCTCCCGTCAAATGTAAGGTGGTGCTATAAAACTGAACTGGACTACATCGACTACTCCTAGCTCAAAGATAAGCATGAGTGAAGCAGTTGGTGGAGCTTGTTGACCACTTCACTTATTTGGGGAGTTGCATCAGTCAGTGTCGACGCGTTGACCACTGACGAAATCTCAACACGGATACAGGGGGCTAGTTTCGCATATGTCCCTTTGTGCCATCTCTAGCGTTGACGTCATATCCAGTTAGTTGTCGATCAAAGGGTGAGTGTACTGCTAAGCAGTCCGCTCCGTCCTCATTTGTGGCTGTGAGTAAGATATAGCTATTGAAAGTGGATGACATGAAAAGCCTGACTAGCTGTCTTCGATCATAGGAGTCTGGGTTCTGTCTCCCGTCATAAGCGGTATGATAGGGTGACCAATATTCAGGTCAGACTTCGGTCGAGTTTTACGTAAGGGAAGGGGGAAATCAATCTACGAAGCTTTGAAGTTACATCTGTTGAGATGGTTAAGACATGTGTTACGAATACATCACCAACCATCGATCGCCTCCCCCGACAATGGGAAATGTTGGCTGACTGACATAGGATGGATCAGGTTGGAAAAGATTTAGCCTAGTGGTGGTTGAACCAAAACATGGCTTCATCAGTCAATGAAATCCACAACAGTTAGTTTAAGCCAGCTAGCCAGTCACGTAGGGAGGTGTAGACTTCCTGACTGGTTGGGGTCCTCATGATGATAAAGCCAATGAACGCTGGAGACGATTGGTGACATACCTGGCTCCGAATCGTTCTGGGTGACTGGCGCAAATGCTTTCACTCTTTGTGATTCCTTGTCATATTCAAGAAAGGTGTATTGTTCTTCCATATTACTGTTCATTTTACCTGCTATCTGTGTGGTATGATGGTGGGTAACACTGAATGCCTTTAGTGAATATAGTATTCGTTTTTAAAGAGTTTGACGGCGGATTGATATCAGTTAGAGAAACAGGAGGTACTGGACAGCTGTTTCATCCTAGTTTGGGAATCATCGGCAGTACGCACCCACCACCAGGGTTTGAACCCACGGCCTTCCGGTTACAAGGAAAGCGAGCTCGTATACAATTCAGGCACTGGGACCCGATTCAACGCCCAGCCCAAGAATTCTAACTTCTACCAATTCGTGATTTAGTGCGACGGGCACCAACTAATGTCATCGGTGAGAAATCCATCCTCACATTTGGCTGATTGAACCTCACTGGTCACGACTTCTCATAATAACCATCCACCACTAACATTTTTATCAAGTCGTTACCATCGCGAGATTTGGAATCGAAATGCAAAAACTGCAACCTAAGCATGAAAGGAAAGATGTTGGGGCTAGATTCAAAACTGCTAATGAGTCGTGTTGGTTGCCTTTGACTGAAATTGGAACGAAAAACCAGCGGCGAAGCAGGAATTCGAACATACAGGATATCCAGAGGAGAATAAAATTAAAATAAGCTGTGTACCAATCAGTTCAATCCTTATAGGGTATTTGTGGAAAATGTATACCCTGTACACTGTTACTAGACGATTATCTGTTAGACATATGCCTATAGGAGAAATTTTACTTGACGTTCATGGATTAAAAGTAAGGCTATCGTCTAAACGTTTGCATAAACACTCATCCTAACGATGTGTCTGTGTTACTTGTCAACAAGTGGATTTTCTAGACGTAATTAATGCTCCAAAAGCAACACAGATTAGTAGTCATTAAAAATCAAAATATTACACATATAAAAAGATTCTATTTGAAAAAATATGTGAGTACCAACAGAATCCATATAGACATTTATCTTCCGATGTACAATAAGGTTACTAAAATAAAAAAAGATGAGGTAAAGTATTATGGCGAAATTGGTGAGTCATGAGAAGAAGAAGAATAGTGAGGCAACCAATTGACTTCATGGTACCACCAGAAGGACACACACACACTGTGCAAACGCTCGCCTTACACTATGAGCACCTGTATTTTTAAAACAGAGAAGAGAGAGAGGTATTTAAAATACAGTATTCATAGGATGTTATACAGAGCAGAGAGTACAAAGAATTTCAGTCCACACACACACACAGTGGAATCGGATAAAAAGTGTAATGAAGCACAATTTTAACGGTCTATAGGTCTATAGGTCGACAGCAAATATACCACATCCTTGAGATGTAAGGATTACTGTCTTTTACTCGTCAACGAGTAGAAATAGTATTATTAAAGTAAATATAGTATAGTGCCATCATGGTTCAGATGGGAATTTCGAGGTAGATCCTGTTGGCTGCAACTAATGATTTAGAAAATTCATACAATGGTAAAGGAACATACATCCTAAATGAAAGACAGAAATTACAGAAATTTAATAACACTTTACATATTTTAATCTTGGGAACTATTCATGCACCAAAAGGGAACGGGCGGTGAGCATTGATCAAAACACTGGAATCTAACTGTTTATTTACCGAATAAAAAATCCATATTTACACAATCTGAATCTTTATTGATATGCTGTAGAATCAGGCTATGATCGTATATAATACAGGATCTGTCATATAAGATGAAAACCCTATGCAATAGCATTTCGAATCGCATAGTAAGTGTCATAGTTATCTTTTCGTAGAGTAAATATGTACGACTGGAATTCAAGAAGCACTATGAATGAATGATAATTAGATGGTTGGAGGCAATCGGCCACAGGAAGCCTTCGACCTAGGTTTCGTGCTAGTTGGCTTTCACCAATCAGTAAGGTGTATTTGCAACCTTGAAGGAACTCATGTGTCTTCTTAGATTCGAAACAAGTGCACGGTAATGACAAGCCATCTAGCATCGCAGTCATATTGCAAACTTGACTGATAGAATTCAGCCAGCACCAAAGATAGGATTAGACAAAATTGCACTAGTTATTGACTGGTGCCCAATCAGATGGTGATTCCCACAACCGTTGGGTGATTGACACCTTTAGCCGAGTAAATGAATATTTCACCAGCAAAAACCAAAGAGGTGGTGAATTCTCATCGCTAACTAATTTATCAGAGCTGATGCAAATTTAACGAGTTTGTGAAGTCGTCAACACGTTCAACCATTTGGCTCCATAACTGTAAACTAGTAGCCGATGCCGATCAGTCCCACGATATTAACCAACACCTAACTGCAGTGAGTCGCATATCAAATATGTGCCTGAAAAACTCTGCACTTTATCAGCCTCTTCATTAAAAAAAGGGCAATACGGTCTGTTTACTCTGAAACAACGGGACTTTTTCTGGTAGCAAATCACTACGTGAGACATCGAAGGGACCATTATCGCTAACCATGTCAGATGAATATAATTAATGCGTCCTAGTACAATTACTACGGATAAAGTCGCCAAATATATGTGTCGCTCAAAGCAACAATTCTTCTATCTCCAGTTTTATGCTTCCGAAAATGACAGCACTCACCTCATCGATTCCCGTTCGGGTTTCACTCGAGTGATAGGCTGGTTAACCATGGCACTCGATAAATCCGATAAATCTCCATTTTATTTTTCGGGATAATTGTTGAGTTATAGGTTCTTCTTTGATTAATACCCAGAATTCCGTTGCTAATTCCTTCTGACCGGCCATCTGGTCTTCAATATGGAGCCAGCAACGACGACTGTCGACAAAAGTCTCAAGTAGACTGTTGGAAGTACTTTCTGTGACTCACTAAGTTTCTGACCCAATATACAGAAGAACTGACTGATCCAACCGCTGTTGAAAATCAGAATCTTCTACTTAAAAGATGAGTGCAGAAGACTTCCATCCTGATTTCACAGCGATGAAGGTCCTGCCTTGGATGCCAACTTATTGGTGTTCACCTTGTTTCACCGGCCCAACATACTCCTGTCTTCCCACTCCCCACAGTCTGACGTATAACCCAGTCTATCATAATATGGAATATCATGAGTGATATTAATCACCCCTGTCCAACTCTTGTATTCGCTTTAAACGCCTCGCTGAGGTTTCCGTTGGGGATCACCTGACACGTAGCATTGCCACTTAGCTGCCGAATGTGATTAATAAATATACGGGGCACTGCCCTCACTAGTGTTGAAGTAGTTTCCAAATTACCTTCCGGTCAACTCTGGCGAAGGCCTTTTCAAAGTTGAGGGAGTCGAGGGAGAGATTTAACTGACATTCTATGCTATGTTCGATGGTGATGCTTAGAGTTGCAATTTGTTCCGGTTGGAGTTCTGCATCCAGTGCATACTTGAGTCTCTCCAGAAAGACAGGACTTAACATTTAACTTGACGTGAACAAGAGAGAGATTCCGCTCAAATTCTTCCAGAGGCCTAAGTAGTCACCTTCTTTGGAAGTTCGACATGGTGGCCTTTCTTTTAATCATCAGGTACCTCCCTTTATTTTCAAAATTATTTTATTATTGGCGTTAAAGAATCTGCTGTGGTCTCTGGAACTGTTTTCAGTGCTTCGGCTGTCTTCCAAGTCCTCAGTAGATTAATTATATTCAAAACTTTTGCTTCTGTTGAAGGAGTGGCGTCCACTGGGAATTCTGTCCTTGCTGTTAGCAGTATTTCTGGATGACTTGCAGGTGATAGTCAGTTCAAGAGTCATTTAAAGTGACGAGCCCAGTGTTTTATTTGTCTCTCCTCTTTGGAAATTAAGTCCCCTAAACTGTCTTTTGTTGGTTTCATCTGTATGGGTCTCTTCCCCGATAATGACCTGGCTATCAGATATAGTGTCTTGAGACCTCTTTTGAAATCAGCCTGTTCTGCTTTAGTTTCCATTGTGTCAAAGAACTTACCTTTACTTTCATAGTATTCTTCTTTGCTTCTTAATTCAGTGCGCATTACATTGAATTCAGTTTCTTCTTCTGTTGTCCATCTTTGCATAGACTTATCTCTTTCACCACCCCCGTCTCCCCAGTTAGCTTTCATGTGTCCGTAGAGAGCCACTCCTTGCCTTGCTTCTTCTTTATTCCTGAAAAGTCTGTACATATTCCTTTAGACACCACTTTCAGAGAGTTCCAGTGTCCTCCCATACAGGTTTTCTCACTGGTGCTAAAGTGCAGAGTCCCTGAAATTCACCACAAGGCTGAAGTGAAGATATTCCTTGTAGTTTTGACCTTCAGTTTTTCGGTGTGGAACTTCAACTGTACTGTGCCTTATCTCTAGTTGCTTTAGAAGCTCTCAACTTGATCTTCAAGCTTCCTTGAACTAGATAGTGTTGTGAGTCCACATCTGCTCCCCATTTCTCAACCATGTGTCCATCAGACTGACTGAATCTCCACTTCCTTCACCACTATTGAGATGAAGTCTAACTGCTTTCTCGTGTATCCGCCAGCTGAAACCCTTGTCGTCTTTTGCATATACTCGTGATTGTACACGCTAACTTCAATCGCCAAATCATTGAGCGAACAGAAGTCTGAGAAGAGTTCTCCATCCTTGTCCATTTCCCCGAGCGAGAGGCTCTCGACCTATGATGAGTTCTCTCCCTGTGTTGTCTGTCCCCACTTCATCAGCTGTATCACCCATTGGGATTTTGATGTCTCCATTTGGGATGTTATGCATTACTGTTTGCAGTTGTCTACAGAAATCTTTCTTCTTCTTCTCTTGTTCTGCGTTGTTTGTAGCACTGTGCGTAGCATTGGACTCTTGTAACCTTCCTTCCTTCTTTTTGAGGTTGATGTCGCTATCATAATCCTGTCGGAGGAGATTGGTTTCCACTGTATATAACAGCCCTGGATGCTGTTATTTCGGATGACTAGTTCAAGCATTTAACTTCTTACATAATTAAATCTACTCAGAAATTTATAGATGAAAATAGAAGTGATCGCATAAATAATGATCACAATAGGACTGAGAAAGCATTCAAAGCCGCCATAGTATTGACGTAGAAAGAATGGCGACCTAAAACATTTCATGTGATTCTCAATTAAGCCGGAATTAGTGTAGCATGTAAACCTACGAAGTCCCTTAGAGACAAACCTCCCTGAGTTTGAAATGACCCCACTGACTCAGTTAGATTAAATAGTTTACTTCAGCAAACAGTGCTCAATGAGTGTGGAGTGAAACGCATACAGGAAACGAGTAGATTGAAGTCTATTATAGGCTATAGGAAAACACGGACTTCGCTAGATCCAGAATGACAGTCTCAGTTCAGATAAATAGCCAAAAGTAAACTCAGACTCTGCACTTGCTCACAAATAGACGGTAGACTTGGACAAGGTAGACCTGTTTCGAAGTAATATAGTTACATGGAGAGTGTGGTCAGTCACTATCTTGGACTGTGTATCTCCTCCGACCTGTCTTTCCTGGTCTTCCACATCATGTTAGTTTCCTGAAAGATAGTTCGTTTGACGTTCTATGTAAGGAAGTTAAGACGATCTGATATCATTCCGTCTCTAATGTTACCGTGTGTCAATTCTTGTATTCTGTCTATACTTCTTAACTGTTTCCTCTTAATATCTGTTGGACTACTCACGAAAGACTTTGTTACACTGAGAAGGGCACTCACTAAACGACGTCAGTAGGGCGAGTGGGATGTAGCTAAACCAAAGCTTGTGAATACTTTTGTAGATAGACACATGGACCAATTCTACAGATTAGAGAATATTAACTTGTCGGACCCCAAGCATCCTCTCCATACACCACTCTGTCTCTCCTTGGATCTCATCGGGTAGACAGTATGCTCGGACGACTAAGTCGAGAAACTCCACAATACCTTATTTAGCGCACATTTTATCTGATGAGAAAAGTAGAAGGCAGGAAATTGCCAACTTACTGAGGGACTCTAAGTAAAAGTATTTATTTTTTGTTATTATTACTACCCCTGTAAATCAGAAAATTAGAGGCAACACTATTCCACTACATGCTGGAATTTCCATATTTGTACCAGAAGTACTATCTAGAATAAAGGTATTATCATCACTATTACCCAAACTGTATTTGTGGGATTCAACATCCAATATGTAGAATGAGAACGGATAAAAGTCAGACACATGGTTCAGCGGAGAGTCTCGTTTTCTTTACCTGTAAAACTTTATAAGAATGAAACAACATCCATTGCAGATATGGCGAAATTGTACTAACAACAGAAGAAAATGAAGTAGAAACGCAGAGAAGAATTCGTGTCGATACTTTGACATGATTATGCACAATAAGTTGTCCTCAAAATACCCTGTCAACGATACTGTATGCCTGAGTGCTACATTAAACAGAAGACATGTTATCGACAAGGTCCAACAGGACTGTCTCTCAATTGGGGGGAGGGGTGGTTGAACAAGCCAATCTGACTCCACCTGGTTGACACTTCACAGCAATACATGATAATCAGTACACATCAGCGGTTACTCAATGCAATTAGACACTGAGAATGGATACAGGGATTAGAATACACCACATTAGTTATGGGTCGATCAAAGCATGAAGTGGCAGTCAAATCTCTCTCTACCTCAACTTCATAGACTTTGAAAAGACCTTCAACAGTGATAATCCATAAGTAATTGGGAAACTGCTTCAAAACCACGGAGTGTAATCGCCCAAATCTTTGTCAACCTCATTCAACCGCTAGCCATATGACAATGTCAAATGTGAAGTGATCCACAACGGAAAACTCAGCGAAGCCTTAGAAGGGAAGACAGCAGCCACACAAGATAGGATGACTACTATCACTGATGATATTCATAATTACGGTGGACTGGATTATGCGGCAGACTGTGGGGAGCGAGAAGACAGATGTATGTTGGACCAACCGATATAAAAACTCTAGAAGATGCGTGATTCATGGATAATTCTTGTCTAATGTCACATAAACTCGAAGATTTATAGGCGGAAACCAAAGCACGCAAACAACAATTTAACTGAACACGGAGGTGCTAAAGTGAACCATGCCACAACAACTACAACAACAACAAAAACAACCAGCAGCAGCAATAGCCATCAACAGGATGATTTTGAAAGACATCACTTCCTTTCCTCCACTTATCCAGACAGCATCGTTTCAACTGCAGGCGACAACACGGATGAGGATGTCAAAACCAGATAGACATTCATCACTCTGAACTCAGTGTGCCAATCTTCTACACTCAGCACAAACAACGAAATTTAGATTCTCAACAACAATCTTGTGTCAGCCACTTGTTCTACATACTGGCTGAGAAACTTCGCCTGAGTGTCACGAAAAGCCTTCTCAAAAGACTAATTGAAGGTCTTCATATTGGAGATCACATAGCGGGTCAGTGGGTGTTAGCAGCAGGTGACTCTGGGAAGGAACGAATCAACTAAAAACCGTTTGCTTAACAAATATGGAGAAGGAAATGAAGATGGATCGGGTAAAACGCTGAGGAAACCGTTGGGTGGTTCGCTCACTAGTTCCCCAAGTTCAACCTGAACAGGGAATGACGAGTTTGGCGCGGTTTCGAGGCTGACATGAGGGAGATCGTGTGATTAGGAGATGAGAGAGTACAGGCGATCGTGAGGTAAAACTGAAGTGGAGGACTACAGAGAACAAGACAAAGTGGAGATGTGCTACTGAGGCCCTATTCTCCACTCGAAACCCAAGGGGATAATAATGATGATAATAATGATACATCCGTTGTGAACAGGACAATCGGTAAAAGAATACAAGCATATTACTAAACCAACCTTCACACAATTGAATCCTTCAGCTTTGAGGATGTTCACAATCAGCCAATGAGGATTTCAACTGGGATAATTGATTTCCCAACTGATTCACTTCATCATCGTCTTCTACATGAACCTTATCACTGTCAACACATTCAACTGTTAGTGAATTATCTGAAAGGGGAATATAGATGAAAAAGAAAGTGAGATTTTAGTGATTCAGAAACCCGGGAATTGAGGTGGTACCTTGTCTAGCATTGTAAAGGCTGAATTTTAACCTATCTTGTGTTCCGTATGCAACTCCTGACTGACTTTAAGACTCCTTAAGCTAGCCATGTCACGTTGTACAATCCTCAGATAGGCGACGGTGGGCTTGTTGAGTTGTTCTACCTATGTAACTCTCTATGCCAGAAAAGGTAGATTTATAAACGTACAATGGAATTGAGTAGACTCGATAGCCTACTTATTCTTTTCGTCTGTGTTGGAACTATACAACGAGTGGTGAATTTTAAACATAATGTTGCGGTAAAAAGTGTTTCAGCTGTTATTTTCGATGCTGTGTCTTCTTTGTACAGGAAAAGATTGATCTGTTCAACACATCGTATACAAAGATTACCTTAAAAATAATCATTTTTATAAGAATCAGTAAACTGTAGTTAACACAACTGAAGGCAAAAACTGTACTACTGGAAAGCAATACTTTATACGCTTGGTTGACTACATTTCATAAAGTTAAAAATACTTAACCATAGGTGGAAAATGCATAACTATTATCATTATTATTATTACCATCATAATACTGAGTTAAAATAATACTTTCTAGTAACAGGAAATAATAATTATCATATAATCTAAATTTAGGCTAATCGTAATTCAGAATAGTTACGTTTGTCACTGTAGATTAGAGGAGTGAACAAACAGTGTGACTGAAAGTAATTTAACACTTAGGCGCGCATAATGAGGCATAAAACAAACCACTTTACACTAAGCCTACTACGTCATCTCATCTCATCTCAAACTTGTGATTAGACATTAAGTTCAGGAGTGATTTAAGCACAGTGAACAACAATCAACGCAAAAAATCTCAGAGACAGCGCTAAAAGGCATGGATGTGAAACCAAAAATGGGAATGATAACAGGAGGTTTCATGCATGCATAACACTGAGCTAACGACCACCATGTAGGCTAGTTGAATGCCGCCAGGCAATTTCGTCGTTAATTAATGGGTATTAGAATTGGGAGGGAAGGCAACTGCATCAGTGAAACAATCCTCGCCACACACATGGTCCAGAGTTCGGTCCCTGGCCGACACACTCCTTTACTTCGCTTAACTGGCAGAAAGCCCCATAAAGAAGGAAGGATGGGAATCAGGCTAACAACCCCAGCTCGTAAAAAAAATCGCCACTGCTAGTAAAACTTCAAAGCTCCAGTTTGAGGCCCTATGTTCTACTCGGAACCTTAACGAACAAAATATAATTTAAAAAATGTGAGTACTGGTAGCACAGTTGATTGGCGATAAAAAAGGTAGTATTATTATATTATTATTTCCTTTAATTCCTAGAGAAACATAGGACTTCAGCCGCGCGTCTCCATTGCGTTCGCTTCTCTGCCAACGTTTTCAACCCGCTCCAAGTCTGCCCACATGCTTTCATCTCAACTTCACATGACCTCCTCCAAGTCACCCTTGCACTTACGACCAACTCGCCGCCCGCTTCCCTTTCGGGTTCCACTCGAACAATGGCTTGTCTAGTGATTTCACTTGATGGTTACCTCAGCGTAAGGCCACTCCATCTGCATTTCTTCCTGCTTATTTGTTTTACAATCGGTTCCTGCTGAGTTGGTTCGCTCCCAGAGATCACTCACTATTGATCTTTTCTGGCCAGCCATCTGATCTTGAGTATTGAGTGAAGACAACTGTTAATGAAGGTCTGAAGTTTGTTTGAGATGCTCTTTATGACGCGCTGGACAAGTCTCTGATCCGTAAAGTAGCACTGACTTCACATTGGATTTGAAGATCCGTTGTTATTTTTTATTCTGAGTGTTGTTGACCTCCACACAGACTTGAGAGTAATGAAAACTTGTCTTGCTTTTCCGATTTTGGCTTTGATATCCTCGTCAGTTTCGTCTCCCTGTAGTTGAAACGATGCTTTCCAGGTAGGTAGGTGAAGGAGGTTGTTTCTTTCAGGTTCCTCCCATTTATGTTGGCTGTTTGTTGTCTGTTGGTGTTGGCCAGGAATCTTCATCACCTCTGTTCTCTCTATGTTCACCTATAGTCCCATCTTCTCTGGATGCTTCTTCTGCCAGCTTGTTGCTTTTCACTCGAATATCTTCCAGTATGTGGAAAATCAGACATATACCATCGGTGAAGTCCAGATCCTCCAAGTCTCTTTTTGCGTGAGTCCATTTTATGCCTGTTTCCTCATTTCCCGTTGTCTGTCTCATTATCCAATCCACTGCAATCAGGAAAATCATTGGTGATAGTAGACAGCCTTGCCTCACTCCCGTCCTCACTTCGAAGGCTTCCGTAAGTTTCCCGTTGTGGATTACTTGGCAGCATTATCGCACAACTGTTGGATGAGAAGTATAATTGTTGGTAGCACCCCGTAGTAGCGAAGTAGTTTCCAAATCACCTCTCGATCGACGCTGCGCTTTCGAAGGCCTTTTCAAAGTCGATGAAGTTGAGTGAGGTGGAGAGGTGACTGACATTCCAAGCTTTGTTCAATGATGATCCGTAGTGTTGCGACTCGATCCTGAATCCAGCCTGTTCCGGTCGAAGTTTTTCATCCAGGTTGGCTTGTTTGATTCTCTCCAGGATGATGCGACTTAGTATCTTGCTTGGAATGGACAGAAGCATAATTCCACGCCAGTTTTTGCATTGACTTAAGTCCCCTTTCTTTGGTAGTTTGAATAAGTATCCTTTTTTCTAATCCTCGGGTACTTTGCCCTCTTTCCACACCTCCAGTAATGGCGTCATCAAGTCCGCTGTTGTCTCTGGGTTCATTTTCAATGCTTCTGCTGGGATTCCATCTGGTCCTGCTGCTTTTCCAGTTTTGCATTCAGGACTTCTGATTTCGTCGGGGGGTCAATGTTCACTGGTAGTTCTGCTTCCGTTGTTGGTATTGTTGGGTGCGTTGCAGGTAGCGGTTGATTCAGAAGTCTTCTGAAGTGTTCAACCCGGTGTTTTCTTTGCTCCACCTCTTTGGTGATTGACTTTCCATTGTAATCCTTTACTGGCTTAATCTGTGTCGAGTTTTTGCCCGATAGGTTCCTTATTGTTTCGTAGAGTGTGGCGAGATCTCCTTTGCCTGCAGCTTGTTCTGCTTCACTTGACATGGCTTCATAATACTTTCTTTTGTCTTCCCTGGCACTCTTCTTTACTCTTTTGTTCAGTGTATTGTAGCTTGCGTTCAACTCCTGTTTTTGTTGCTCGTCGGTGCACTTGATAATCTTTTGTTTCTCCATCCTTTTCTCCTCTGATATTCTCCATGTGTCCGTAGTGAGCCACTCTTTGTCCTGTCTCTTCTTTCTGCCTAGAACTTCCATGCAGGTTTGACTCCACACCGTTTTCAGGTTGTCCCAGTGCTTTTCGCCGCCGACCTCTTCGCTAGTGTTGATTTGTGTCTCGGCTTTGTCCCTTATGCTTGCAATGAAGATGTCCTTTGTATCCTAGTCCTTCAGTTTTTGAGTGTTGAACTTGGCTTGTGGTCTATTCGCAACTCCTGATTCTCTGAAAGCTTTTAATTTGATTTGGATTGTCCCTTGTACGAGATAGTGATCTGAGCCAACGTCTGCTCCTCTTCTTACTTTTGTGTCCAGTAGGCTGCGCCTCAATTTCCTTGAACAGCATTCAGGTGAAGTCAATTTGATTTTTGTTTCGACCGTCTAGTGACACTCATGTAGCCTTATGGGTATCTTTGTGTTTGTATACGCTGCCACCAATCACTTGTTCATTAAAGGCGCAGAGGTCGGCGAAGAGTAGTTGTCTGTAAAATTCTTCTTTCTTTTCGAGGTTTGCGTTGTTTGTGGGTGCATAGCATTGTATAACTGACACTTTCCTTTCTTTGGAGGTAAATCTGGCAGTCATTATCCTGGGCGAGATCGCCTCCCATTGCATCAGGGCCTTCGTTCCCGTTGGTGACATGATGATAGCCACGCCTTCAGTGTGCGTGTAGTTATCTTCTGGGTGACCAGAGTAGATCACTGACTCACCCGTTCACAATTTGGTGAGTCCATTCCCGTTCCATCTGCTTTCACATATTCCCAGTACTTGGATTCCGTATCTTTTCATCTCGTTTGCGATCTGGGCAGCTTTGCCAATCTCGTACATAGTGCAGACGTTCCATGTCCTCACACAGACTTTTCTTTTGGCGCAAGGAGATTCATCGAACTGAAGTTTCTGTAGCAACTTTGTTTACAGGGTGGGATTGCTAGTCTCACGCCTGAGAAAGGGATTTTTACATTAAGATATAGTTTAGTGAGAAGAAACCTTGTGGGTTGCTCCCCTTAAAACCGAAAAACAGGGAACAAAACAATCAGAACAACACCAGCAAAAGGAAAATAATTCACAGCAAGAAGGGCAACAAGCGACAACAACAATAATAATATCACAGTTAGGCACAGTTAACCAAAATGATACCAAAATCATAGGTAGTGAAAAGTTATAATCTGATAAAAACGCTTGCACATCGAAACAAAATATAAATGTTAACAACACTATTAATGTGTCAGGATTCCTATTGACAATGTACTTATAGTTGATCCTCCTTCCTTATCTATCTTAAAGTGTAAGCCAACCTTAAGATTAAAACAAAATGCAAATGAACTTCAAACCAAATTACCATGAACTGACCTGTATGGCAAAACTGTGATTTAAAACCAGGTGTTTCTTTTACTGAATTCGTGTGACATCTTGCCAAACACTTCAATTTAGACCATACCACCCATGAAGCATACTGAACACGTTTAATAAGATCATCACGAATTACTCGAAAAGGTAATTCGAATGAAAAATCAATAACGGGAGTGGATTGTTTATCAATACTTTTCTTGAATAAATTCCTTTTCTCATCGAACGATTGTACTTCAGATATGTCATGTTCTGCAACATGTGATTCACCAAGAGAGTGATGTTCATCCTGACAATCAAATGAAATATTAGCATTATCCTGCATGCATAAGTCACAATTGTGTTCCAGGAAATCTGAGAACTGAAACATTCGTGAAGACAGTTGGCTGGCAAAATCTCGAAGTTCACGATTTTCATGACATAATTCCTTTAGACGGCTTTCCAACTGTTGAATTACTGTCGAAGATAAATCATCCTGTAAACAGATGAAAATCATTACCGTAAACAAAGGCAGTAGTAAACCTTGGCGTTCGAACATGTTAAAACAAATTGTCCTTAGTAGATTCAGTAAGCAGTATAGCACAGGCTAATCAAGCAAGCGGTTTAAGGTTCAATCCACGGCCGACACACTCATTTACTTCTTCCAGCCGAAAGTAAGCCTAACCCGATAAAGAGGAAAGGTTAGGCGTGCGGCTGGCTAGCATCCTCGACAGCCCTATGCTCCACTTATGACGCAAAGCAAAAGAAGAGAGTAATGAAACATTCAAAAGAAAGATAATAAACAGCAGTATGAGACAAAATGAAAAGTAATATGCAAGAACAATACAGTTTTATTGGATATTACAAAGCATCACAAAGAGTGAATGCATCAGCGCCAGCCATTGAGAACTATTTCGAGCCAGCCATATCACCAATTATCTCCAGTGTTTATTAGTTTTTTACCATTCTGAGACCCCCAATCAGTCAGGAAGTCTACAACCTCCCCACATGGCTAGCTGGTTGGCTCAAACTAACTGTTGTGGATTTCATTGACTGATGGAGCCATGTTTTGGTTTGACCACTACTAGGCTAACTCTTTTCCAACCTGATCCATCCTATGTCAGTCAGCTAACATCGCCCATTGTCGAGGAAGACGATCGATGGCTGGTGATTCATGCGTAACGCATGTTCTAACCATCTCAATCGATGTAACTTCACAACCTCGTAGATTGATTTCCTCTCCTTACCTAGCACTCGACCGATGTCTAACCTCAATATTTCTCACCTTATTACATCTACCACTGAACACGTAAGATAGGCCACAGACTCATATGATCAAAGACAGTTAGTCAGGCTGTTCATATCTTCCACTTTCAATGGCCATGTTTCGCTCACAGCCACAAAAAGGAGGACAGAGAGAACGGCTGAGCAGTACACTCTCCCTTTGGTTGACAGCCAGCTGGATATCACGTCTACAAAGCCAGAGATGTTGTGAGTTGGTATATGCGTAACTAACCCTCTGTATCCATATTGAGATTTCGTCAGTGATCAATGCGTATACACTGACTGATGCAACTTCCCAAATAAATGAAGTGGCCAACACACTCTACCAACCATTTCACTCATGCGTATCTTTAATCTAGGAGTAGTCGACGTAGTCCAGTCCAGTTTTGTGACATCATCTTACATGTGGCGGGAGAGAATCGCATGCTAATCATTCGAAGATTCCTGCTCCTCAAGGTATTCAGAAGATTCTGCATTTTGCAAGGGTCATCCTCTAATCTGCCTGTCTGTTTTCGACATAGAACTTTGCACAAATGTGCGGAAGTTCAAGTCGCCACATTCCGTGTAGCACGCGAAGCAAGAGAAGAAAGTACAAGAAAAGCATAATAGAAACAGTGAGCAGAGGTGTGAGACAAAGGAGTAATAAAGAAATACAAAACAGTTTCATTGGAGATCATAAGTCACAGGGAGTGGATGCATCTGCGCCACTGAGAACGATTTTGAGCCATGTCACCAATTGTTTCCAACCATAGATTTTTACCGTCCCGAGGACCCCAGCCTGGAAGTCTACACCTTCCTACGTGGCTTAGACCAACTGTTGTGGATTTCATTGACTGATGCCAAGTTTTTGTTTGACCGCCGCTAGCTTTTTTCCAGCCTGACCCTATATCCGCTAACATTGCTCGTCGAGGGAGGCGATGGCTTGGCATACGTAACACATGTCCTAACCATCTCAGTCTTTGTAGCTTCACGACTTCGTCGATTGATTTCCCCTGTTTACCTAGAACTCTACGCCTAACCTCCATGTTGCTCACCTTATTATGCCACTTTACACGGGAAATAGAACGCAGGCACCTATGATCAAAGACAGCTAGTCTTTTCATGTCTTCCACTCTCAGTGGCCAGGTCTCACAACCATAAAGGAGGACGGAGCGGACTGATGAGCAGTACACCCGCCCTTTGGTCGATAGTCGAACATCTCGTCTACGCCAGAGTCGGCGTAAACTAACAAATGCGAAACGAGCCCCTTGTATTCGTGCTGAGATTTCGTCAGAGATCAGCCCGTTGGGGCTGATGGTACTTCCCAAATAAGTGAAGCGGTCAACGTGCTCTACCACTTCACTTCCTATTTTTAAACTAGGCGTCGATGTAGTCCAGTCCTGTAACATCATCTTGCATTTGGCGGGAGCGAATCGCATGCCAAACATTCGTAGATTGCGGCTCAAGGTGTTTAGAAGACTCTGCATTTCGTCAGCGTCTTCGCCTAGAAGGACTATATCGTCTGCATATTCCAAGTCAACGAGATTATTCCCCGGTAGCAAGTCAATCCCTGAGTCGCTGAAGTCACCTAGGGTTAAGTCCATTAACACATCTATGATGAAGTTGAATAGAAAAGGAGATAATGGGCATCCTTGACGGACACCACTGGTCGTCATCAGTTCAGATGACAGCTCGCCGTAAGCCCTCACCTGGCTGTATGAGTACGAGTAGAGTGCCTTAATCAGTGCAATATATTTTCTTGGAATTCCCTTTACAGCCAAGCATCTCCAGAGTCGAATGCTGCCTTTAGGTCAAGAAATATAATGACTGTTGGACGCCGGTAGGAATGCCTATGTTCTAGAATCTGTCGGAGGGTGAAGATATGATCAATACACCCTCTTCCTGGTCTAAAGCCTGCCTGGCTCTCTCGTGTTTGTGCTTCCCGAGCACCACTCAGTCTACGCATGATTATTGAGCCTAAGACTTTAGATACTATATTAGTCAAGCTAATCCCTCTGTGATTATCACAGGAAGACTTGTCTCCCTTCTTGTATATGGGGATAATCAGTGACTTACACCAACCCGATGGGACTTCTTCTGATTCCCAGACGCTGCCTAGTACCTCAGTTAATCCGGACAGTAAGCTGTCTCCACCGTACTTAAATACCTCTGGAGTCATTCCATCAGGTCCCGCTGCTTTGCCTAGTTTCAGATTGGTGACAGCTTTAGTAACCTCAGTTAGTGACGGAGGACCTGTGTCTATATCCCATTCAGGGAGGTGTTGGATGCTCGGAAGGTTGAGCGTGGCTGTGGGCAAATTAAACTGCTCCTCATAATGCTCTTTCCAACGATCCAGTCGTCTATCCTGGAGCTAATTATAGTGCCATTTTTTTCCGAGATTGTCTCACTGATGATTTGTCTTCTCCCACCCGTTTCCCTGATGAGTCCAAAGAGTTGCCTGGTGTTGCCTATCCTCGAAGCTTTCTCCATCTCTTTGGCTTTTGTCGCCCACCACTGTTCACGGTCCTTGCGGAGACTTTTCGTAAGTTTCCTCTTGTGCAGCTTTCGCTCCTCATTGAATTCGGAGCTCGCCGGAATAAGTCTTCTAGCATCTATCAGTTCGGATGAGGCGGTGGAGATCCAGTGGTTTTTACTCACCTTTGGGTTTACCTTATTCACAGCTTTTACAGCTGTATCTATGGCTGCCTGGATATTTTTCCAAGCTTCTTCAGGGTGAGCACAGCTGTCGAACACAGATATGTGTTTAGCTAGTTCTTCCTCAAATACGGATTTAGTTTCCTGATCGAGCTGGGGACGTGATGGTTTTACCGCCAGCTGTTTCCTACGTCCGTTCAGTCGTAAGCACACCCGAGCGCGGACCAGTGCATGGTCGGTATCTACGCACGTGTTCCAGAAGGAGCGACAATCTCCTACCGACCCACGCCAACGATAGCTTATTGCTATGTGGTCTATTTGTGTCCAGCGTTGGTTTGATGAAGGGGGTCTCCAAGTCAAACAGTGTCTCTCCTTGTGTTTGAAGTTAGTGCTTACAAGAAACAAATGATTATCAGAGCAGAACTGTAGGAGACGGTCACCGTTGTCGGTTCGCTGGCACGGAACTCCATAGGTGCCACCGACATCCTTCTCAGATTGACACAATTTCCCTACTTGAGCGTTAAAGTCACCAGCTAGAACGACTAATGGGGAGGACTATACCATCTGTATATTCTAAGTCAACGAGACCATTATTCCCTGATAACAAGTCAATCCCTGAGTCGCTAAAGTCAGTTGGGGTTAACTCCATTAGTACACCTGTGATCAAATTAAAGAGAAACGGGGACAGTGGGCATTCCTGTCAGACACCACTAGTTGTCACCACTTCAGATGACAACTCACCGTAAGCTCTGACCTGGTTGTCTGTATGAGTTCGAGTACATTGAGTGGTTTGATCAGTGCAATGTATTTTCTCGCCATTCCCTTTACAGGTAAACATCGCCATAGTACCTCTCGGTCGACAGAATCGAATGCCACTTTCAGGCCAAGGAATATAACGATTGCTGGACGCCAACGGTAAGTATGCATATATTCCAGAATCAGACGAAGAGTGAGGATATGAACAATACACACTCTCCCCGGTCTAAAGCCTGCCTGATTCTATCGTGTTTGTTCCTCCCGAGCACCGCCTAATCTACACATGATTATTGAGCCTAGAACTTACGATAATAAGGTTAACTGACAGTAAAATCCATCTATGAATACGGCGACTGTAGTCATACACACACACACACACACACACAAATCTAGTCATTTCATCAGAATTAAACACCCAATAACAGTGAAGAAGTTTCTGACAACTAGTAGGAACCATACAGATAGGGAGTTCATGGATTACAAAAGGAAAACATTATGATTACGACCAAAGTTTAGTTTTGTAAATTAGCACTTGATGATTTGAGGAGATACAATCTAGAGTAGGTCAGATATTTTAACTAATTTTTCACTAAACAGTCCCACTCACTTAACATTCTCATCCTGTTAACTGGAAAATTCTCCTGTCATTAATAGAATTTCTCCAGCTTTTCAATAAGCTGGAGTGAGGGGGGGGGGCGTACTAAGCCAATGTTTTGCACCGCTTAATATAATATGTCTCAATGAGCAAAAAAAATTAGAAAATGATACTTAATAACGATTCGTATGTATCAAAAACAACATCAAGACACTAACTGACAACATTCACTGTATATTATAGAAAGCAAACAGAATTATGAATTTTCAGATTGTAGGTTTTAACACACAAGAGACCGTCTGTCTTCCTTAAGAGATGCCCGAGAAACCCTCCAGGATATTTAAGCAAAGCGAAAATTTAAAAAAGAAGGATGAGATACTACTTGAGCGCAGTTTTTTAGGCCTGTGTTAATTTTACTTGAGAAGAGGTGAGAAGTTTAGCAAGGATATCTTTTCACCGACTTCATATTAGCAAAATTACAAGTATTGCTTAATTAGGAGACAGCGATACAAGTGAAATTAATGGTGAATAATTCCAAATGTTTGCACCAAACAAGGATTACACTCATGATTATTATATATTATTTCTGGCTTAGCGAGGTAAAGGAGTGAGTCGACCGGGGATCGAACGCCGGACCATGTGCATGTTCGGCGATCGTGTACATGGTCCGGGATTCGATCCCCTGCCGACGCGCACCTGATATCTATGGTTCGCCTGCAAAATTTGGGCTACCGATATCACATGCTGAAAATTCCATACCTGTACCAAAAAATACGGTGTGGAATCAAGCTGAAATCAAAACCACAAAAATCTCCACCTGTCCTACAAATTTGTTGAGCGATCTGCTCTTGTCTGTTGGTTTGTTCCCATATTTTCTTGTTGCTTATTCTTTCCAGTCATTTGATCTTGAGTATGGAGCGATGGCAGCTGTTGATGAAAGTCTGCAACCTGTTGGAAATGCTTTTTGTGACACGCCAACTTTCGGAATAGTACAGAAGCACTGACGGACCTCCCAGTGGTGTTGAAAATACAAATTTTTTTTCTTGTGCTGAGTGCGGAAAATTTCCAAACTGCTTTCAGGTTGATGAGGTGTGAGTATCTTGCCTTTCCGATTCAGCCTGACTTTGGCATCTTTATACGTTCCAGCTGCTTGTAGTTGAAACGATACTTCCCAGATAAGTGAAGGGGGTAACCTCTGTTAAATCTCTTCCGTTGATGGTGATTGGTGCTGGTTGTTGTTGTTGCTGCTGCAATGTGTTTGGTTGGTTATCTTCATCAATTCCGTTTTCTCTGTTTCACTTACAGTCCTGCTTTCGCTGCCAGCCACTTCAGCCAGTTTGTTGGTTTTCGCCTGCGAGTCTTAGAGTTTGTGTGACTTTAGACATATATCATCGGAGAAATCCGGATCTTCTAGAGTTTTCTCATTGAGGGTTCAGTGCATTCCTGACTCTTCGCCCCCAACAGTCTGAAGCATAATCCAGTCCTACACAAATAAGAATATCATAAATGACAATAGGCAGCCTTGTCTTACTCCTGTATGCACTTAGAATACCTCGCTCAGTTTTCTGTTGTGGATCACCTGGCTGACACGTGGCAGGCATTGTCATATAGCGAACTGTTGAATGAGGTTGACAAAGACTGGGCACTACACTCCGTAGTGTTTTAGTAGTTCCCAAATTACTTCTCGGTCAACTCTGTCTGGTGAAGGCCTTTTCGAAGTCAATGAAGGAAGTTGAGGTAGATGTTTGACTGGCATTCTATGCTTTGTTCTGTGATTACGATAGGTAGAGCTGCAATTTGATCAGCACATGATTTGCCTTTACTGAATCCAACTTGTTCTGGTCGGTGGGGCGGAGTTCAGGATGATGCGAATAAGTATTTTACTTGGTGTGGACAAGAGCATTATTCCACGCCAGTTCTTGCAGAGTGAGGCTTCAGTCGCCATTCTTTGGCAGTTCGACGAGGTAGCCCTTCTTCTTCCAGTCAGTAGGCACCTTTCCTTCTTTCCAAATTTTTTGCAGTAATGGAGTGAGAACATTAGATGACAGTCTAGGGGAGATGGCTAAACCCTGATTCCAAACCTCCAACGACTGGTGTATGAAGCTCACCGGAGTTCACCGGCAGACGTATGGACAAAGAGCTTATTGGATGCCCTGGATGTCTGGCCCCATTCAAAAAGGCGTATGAACCGGACTCCGGTCATCGGCTGCCAATGGATAGTGGACTCCCTACTCCACTCCTACTGCCTTGTAGGTCACACTTGGCTGTGTAAAGGCTAGAGCTGCACTCTCAAACAAAAGGCCGAGCGATTCTGGGGACATCACTCGTACCCAATTCCCATGAAACTTCATCAACTCTCTTATAAACATTCGAGATGTTCATGAAGCCGGTTCATCCTCCCGTAGGAGATAGCCGAAGTAAAGTAAAGTAAAAGTAAAGTGAGAACATCTGCCGTGATCTCTGGGGCCGTTTTCAGTGCTTCTTGAGGTGAAGGGAATTCCGTCTGGTCCTGATTCCTCCCCGGCCTCTGTTCAGTAGCTTGATCGCATTCAGGATTTCTGCCCTCGTTGGAGGATTGGTGTCCACTGGCATTTCCGTGTGTGCTGTTGGTGGTGTCCAATCAAAGTATTCGATACATTCAGTCCTACAGGAGGTCAATCCAGAGCCCGAACAGATCAGTGATAACCTCTCTGACTGCAGCACTAGGTAACACGGGTTCGGACTTCAGAGCGGGGCATGAGCACTTTCAAGACTGCAAACACATCTGGCTGACTGGCAAGTGTCAACAAGCACGAAACTTAGGTGGTCTGAGACTTTCCGCTGATTGTCTTCAACCACCACCTAATAACAGCGATTCAGAGTGGACCGTGATATTCAGCCAGGTGGTGGCATGATGACCACATTCCAAACTTGACTGATAGAATTTAGTCTGCACCAACCAAAAGACTATACGCATGATATACTAGTTATTAACTAGTAGTGTCCAAATCAAAGCATATATAATTCTCACCGAACACGAAAGGAAGATTAACAAGTGTTAACAAGAGATGAATATTAGTCGCAAAGAACATAGTAGCTTTACAAAAATATGGTTGAGTAGTGTATAAAATAATTTCTCCTGGGGAAAAAAACCCCGTTTGATTAAGACAGGCATAGAGATGGATTGAAATGACAATTTTGTAACGGATAATGAAACAAAATAAGAAAAGAGGAGAAACTGAGTTCCTTTCAAGTCTTATGCACGGCATAGTAAGGAGAATCATGATGATTAGCCACTTTACATTATCTTACCCCCCCCCCTCAGTAAATTTGTATTCTTATCATTAACATTAATTCTGTGACTCAGTTCATCTTCATTGCTAGTGGATTGAACTCACAATGATTTTTTTAAACTTTACTATTTGTTGATTATCAAGTGCAGCTGCTGCACGGATTTGATTGTCTAAAAGTTTAATTGCGAGTTCACAATCAGTTACACAACCGTTGGAAAATCAGGGTGTACTGAACAGCTGTTTCATTCTAATCTGGGACTCTTTATCGGTACGTAGCAACCTGGATCGCAACCCCTAAGACCTTTCTGTTACAAGGATTTAAAACCCTGTGGGTGAGTACTGCCAAAGAGTCCCGCACTACGTCATGAGAGAGATAGGATTCATGACCTAGTTATGGTGAGTATACATCTGACTATTGTCACACTTATTCATGGAAGCGAAATAATTCGCAGAAAACACTGAAGTGGTATAACAAGGTTAGGCTTCAGACGAGTGCTAGGTAAGGAAGGGAAATCAATCGACGAGGTTGGGAAGTTATGATAGTTGAGATGGTTAGGACATGTATTACGAATACATCACTAGCCATCTATCATCTTCCTTGACAATGGGAAATGTTGGCTTACTGATATAGGATGGATCAGGTTGGAAAAGAGTTAGCCTAGTGGTGGTCAAACCAAAACACTGCCTCATCAGTCAATGAAGTCTACAACATTCAGTTTGAGCCAACCAGCTAGCCATGTGGGGAGGTTGTAGACTTCCTGACTGGTTCGGGTCCTCAGGATGGGAAAATCCAATGAAGGCTGGAGATAAAGCTAGCTCCAAATCGTTCTCAATGGCTAGCGCAAATGCATTCATTCTTTGTGGTGATTTGTCATATACAATAAGACTGTATTGTTGATCCACATTACTATTATTTTTCCCTCATACCTCTGTTTATTATTCGTCTTTTGAATCTTTCTTAGCTCTCTTCTCTTGCTTTGTGTGCTTCATGGAGGGAGTGTGACAACTGGAACTGTTGCACATCTGTGCAAAGTTCTATGTCTAAACCAGTCAGTCAGCCAGTTAACACCATCACGGATAAAAAGGAGCCTTGGCTAGAAGGTAATAAATTCGAATTAGGTATAAGAATTGGTAATGCATTTTCATGATAATCTCAACAATATTTTACTAAGGCTATTTACGAAGTAAAATTTTGCATCCCAGCTACGGTGACTAGCTAAGGTAAAATCAACTTATCTATAGAATGAAATATCATAGAATTGTAAAATTACGACCACGGGGAACCCGTAGTAATGCATTAACTTCTCTTACTTGATTCATGCCATTATTTACTTACTCGACTAGTTTCATTATCTGCAGCATTTGTTGGAGGCAGACTTCCACTACTCAACTGTTTGGTCAATGATGCTTTTGAAACTACACTAGGAGGACAGGACCGAGGTGGACTAGTATTGTCGTGAATACTTAATTGGTTAGTGTTAGATCGATAAGCATTGGATACTTTATCACCTTCAACACGTGAACGTATCTCAGATGTAGATAAGTCTGTTGAAATAGTCGGTGAATGATTTTTTCTTCCTCTTCTATATCCAAATGAAGCTTCCTTCAGACAGCCTACTAAGCGTTTGCGTAGGCGTTCACGTTGTATCTCTAACCTCCGCTTTTGATTTGAGCATTGAGCTTGATGTTTTGAGAAAGCTACACGAATTCTATCAAGCTGTAAACAAAGAAAAATATGATGCACACTTTAGAGAAGAATGAATACACTTACAATGGCACAGCTGAATAATTGTCAGGAGTATAGAATAGTAGCAATAAAGAGTAGTAGCCTTTCAACAAATAAACTGTGTAACGACAAAAAAATAATCATATCAAATGATAAAACTATTTATATCAGTTCACCTGTTGCTGTGAAGCCAGCCAGATGCATCAGTCGTTCGACGCGTACCCTGTACAAGACGATTCAAGAACACTATCCAGCATGCTTGCGAAAATGCAGTAGTGGTGCTATAAGAAGTGCGATAATTGAACACCTGGTTAACACTGATCACTCCATCTCAACAAACGCCTCCTGCTTCAAAGTAATCTACAGAGTCAAGAATAACCTACCAAAGGCAGTACGGTTTCGTCTTTTTTGTATCGCTGACGCTCTGGCCATTCTCACATAGAAAAACCGGAGCTGTGCATACAAAAGAGAATTACTCCACCACTTCTATTATTATGGTAACAACTTTGTTGATTTTTGATTTTGTTTGTTTGCCTGTTCTTTAATTGCTTATAGTTCTTTTATTCATTTAGAATTCTTACGTAATTTCGTATCCTGAGTAAAACTCAATCATCAAATTATTCATATTATTACAGGATTTCATCATGAGCTGACATTAGTTAGAGGACCATTGGAAAACCCGGGATTACTGGACAGGTGTTTCGTCACACTAGTTTGGGACTCTTCATTAGTAAGCACACACCGCCAAGGTTCGAACCCAGGACCTCCTGGTTACAAGGCCAGCTAGTTCGTAGACCATTAAGCCACTGGGAACCGATCTAACGTCTAGTTCATGGATTCTAACCTCTGCTAATTCACGACATAGCGTGACCACTAGCCAATGTCTAAGGTGAGTATTTGTCCTCACATTCCACCTGCTGCACCCTACTGGTCACAATTTAACTTCTTTTTTAACAACTGTTTGTGACAACTCATCACCTTTGTTACTACCTTAATTTCATTAACACCTAATATTCTTGACTGATTTTGTATCATGTAACTCCAATTACCAATCTTCACCTGTTTAGTTAAAATAACCATAACCAATTGTATTTTTGTTTGACAAACTTAATGTACAAATATATACAAAATAACACATATATTTGCGATTGTACAGCTAAGAAAATGAATACGCCGAAAAGAGACTCTCCACTGAACAACCTGTTTTGTTTTCATTAAAACATCAGACGCAACTCGAAGCATATATATATTCAACAGTGTGGAAACACCAAATAAACAAATCCCACCGGGGAACGTGAAGGAAAAAAATAAGTTGGTTCGTTCCCAGAGTTTATTGTTGCTAACACACTATCTGACCGATTATCTGATTCAGTATTGAGGGCTAACGAAAGCAGATGTTAACAGAAAACTCCGAAAAGCTGTTGGGAATGCTTTTCCTGACACACATGATGCCATGTTTCTCACCCAGTGTATATAGAAGAAGTGACTGACTCAGCATTAATGTTCAAAATCCGAATTCCGTTGTTTACACTAGGCACAGATGAGATTCCCACATTGAGTTCAGAGTGATGAAGGTGTGTTTTGCTTTTCTAAATCTGGCTGGTTTTGACATTCTCATTCATGCGCTGTCGGCGGTAGTAGTAGTAGAAACGATGCAGTGCAGCGTAGATAAGTGAAGGAAGTAACCTCTTTCAAATATATTGTGTTGGTAGTGACTGGTGCTTGTTGTTGTTGTTGGTGGTGGTGGTTGGTTATCTTTATTACCTTCGTTCACTCAAATTCTTGTCTGCGTTGCTGCTTCTTCTGCCAACACTTGTTAGTTTTTGGGATTTGTGTAACATTAGACATGAATCATCTGCGAAGTCCAGATCTCCTAGACTCTTCTTATCAGTCCAATGTGTTCGTGTCTTCTCATTCCCACGCACAGTCTTCTGCATAACCCAGTTCATGGAAATTAGGAATATCATCCGTGACAGTGGGAAGCCTTGTCTTACTCCTGTATTCACTTCAAATGTTTCGCTGACTTTTTCGTTGTGGAGTTCCAAGGTAGTGTTGCAAAATCTAAAGACTATTCCTTAAGCCACGTATCGCGTCTATAAAGTTAGCATATTGATCAACGTCTGGCTAGAATCTGTCGAGACCCACTAATGACGTATCCTACATCATAGAGACCTATATTCAATTTTGCGATGAAGTTATTTGAATATTTCTTCTATCTGCAAGAATGAAAAGCAAGTTTCATCTCCTAGTGTTGCATTAAGCTCTAGAGCAGAGGCCATATCACTCAAATGGATTTCAATTGACAGTCGTTTACATGTTGTGAGAATAAGTTACAACAGAGAAAGAAGCCTTTAATAAAAGAATCTTTGCATTTCTGCCACTTCTGAGCTTATGTACAGAAGGATTCCAGTCCAGATGCCATTAAGCATGAGTTGTGCCATCAGTTGAGTGGACATCTCAAGCAAGCGTGTTCTATAGATATTATACAGACAGTTGGCATCTTGAATGCACGCTTCGGGAGTCCAGACTCAGAGGACAGGAATTTAGATGGTTAATGGGGCCTAGCCTATATGGTCGTAGGTTAACATAACGGAAACCATTTTCTGAAACTTTGCGGAGATCACCAGCTATCACTACTACTATCCAGTAAAGCCATCACTATAGTGCTCACTGGAGTCACACCTCGGTCATTCAGATCAAAGCTATTAGCTACCGACTGTGGACAAATATAGGGCTTTCGCTCTTCCTGGAAATCTTGTCTGGATTCCAGTCATGCTTTTTAGTGCGCAAGGCTTATCTTTCTATTCGATGTAGATCATGAACGTCGTCTTCAACAGGTTGAAATAAATAAACCAGTAGTACCTGCTTCCACTGCCAGGTATCAAATCTAACTAGAGTCAAGACTCCCTACTAAACATCTAGATAGTATAGCTGAACATTGCATACACTTTCAAGACGCCACACGCCAAGAAAATGAAAAGCAAAGCCACTTGCGGCTTAAAAGGACGCTTCACAAAGGGCCATTGGGTTTCTATAAGTTCCTTGCAACTCCTTGACGCCCTGTCCGTCTTTTTTTCGACAGGTAGTGACTACAACATGCGTAAGAGCAAACAGCGCTTGCGTAGGGACTGTGAAGCCTGTTAGTAAGAACATGCGAGTTAGGTGGAATCAGGAACTGCATCTGGCAACAGTTGTAAGATGTTCCAGCTCATCCAAGTCACCGACTCAAGAAGCAGAATGTCAGCAAGACTATCTGTGGGGAGATGGTACGCCGAATAACAATCTAAAAAGACTACTGGGACGCTGGAAACAGCATTTCGAGAAACAGTTTAGCTGGGCGACAGTGACAGTATTCAATAGTATTAATCATGGTCGGCTAACACCAATCCAACTAACAAAGCGGATATCAGAAAGGAACACCAATAAACAATCACTACCCAGACAAATTACTTCTGACTCTCTGGTAAACATCCATAGTCAAGGAACCGACTGGATTATTTAGTAAGTACGGCTAAATGAGAATGTTCTATCAAGGTGGAATAAAGCTGTTATAGTGCCTATCTTTAAAAAAGGCCCTAAGTTATGAATGTCACAATCATATAAGTGTTAGTGTGTAACCGTTTGCTGCTGTCTTGCTCCGCATGTTGCGTAATAAATTGGTTTGCGAAGAGTAGCCTGGGTTTAAGTTAGGTTGTCGATCAAATGATCACATGTTTACTCTTCGTCAGTTGCTACAACGCCGTTGACAATTGTTGGATTTTATGATACTAGGGTTGCCTCCGATTCATTGGAATATTCTCTTAGACGGAAGTGTTTCTGAGAAGTTTTTCTATACCCTAGAAGCCTTATAGCAAAACACCTCAGGTAAAAAGAGGATATGCAACCAGTTATCGCCGCAGTTCTTCGCCAACAGTGGGGGTAAGGCAAGGTTGTTCAGTCTTATCATTTCTCTTTAATGTTAACATCGATGACATCCTGGTGTCATCTTCAACAGATTTGCATGGTGGTAGTGCAGATTTTCTCTGTGGAATACTATTGCAAGATAGGTAGGAACCTGTACCTGCAATCACTCCTACAAGTGAAGCATTTGTATATCTGGGAAGTTTTGTGAGTGCTGGCAGCTATGTAACAGATGATATCTCAAACCATATGATGAAACCTAGAAGGGCATTAGCCAAACTCAGGTACCATCGTAACGTTGGTCTAGTCGTCAAAAGTTGGGTGTACAATGCTTCAGTGAGCACAGTATCACTCTAAGTATGTGAAACTCGGCCTCTTTGAGCTAAGGAGGTGCAGCAACTCTACGTGTTCGATAATAGCTGCTACCGTGAAGTCGCTTTCATCCAGTGGCATCATTGTATTAGTAATTTGGTTAACCGGTGGCATGTGCTTCAGCATGGTGGAGACAATCTTCCGATAAATGTTGTCATTTCGAGATATCAACTTCCAGGTTTGGAAATGTACTACGAATGTCATCTGAGCGGCTCACATACCGTTTACTGTCTGCTAACCATGGGACTATGTGTGTTCGTCAGAAATTCGGAATCAGTGGCTCAAGACGTTATCAGATTCAGATTCAGAATCGTAGCCAGTTTTGCAGCATACAATAATTTCCACCTTTCCTCTTTCAGCCTATGCAACAAGGTAATGCCATAATCCCTCAAATTTTATGGACGGTACAAGTGTATGAATATACGTCTGACTTACTGATGTAACGGTGTATAACACGTAACACATCAAATAGCAGAAAAGAGTAAGGTGACGAAGTGAAGTGTTCAGAGATGATGCAAGTTGGTAAGTGTCGACTGAGCCTTTTGTATCCCTTGTGAGACTTAATCAAGTTGATTTAACTTTTAAATAAAGTGGTCAACACATTCAATATATTCACGTTATAACAATAAAGTAGGAATAGGTGCACACCAGTCCTACAGCACCACCCAACATCGGACAGCAGCGAATCACATATTTTCGCTCAAAAATTTTGCCACTTCATTTAAGAGGATAATCTATTCTGTGTACTGTGAATCAGAGTTACTTTTTGTGGCTAGCGAATCACCACTAATCGAGACAATGACCATCATCACAGTCAACTTAATAAAGAAAAGAAGTATGATAAATACTTGACGACAGCAAAATTTGCCTGTCTTTCAGAACTTATAGTCGTGTAAATCTGAGCATTGAATCCCCATCATGACCTGGAACTAGCCTGATCGTCCAGGGTTTATTCTCCTCGAAAACCGATTAGTCAAGATTATGGAATCTATGATACCTTGACATCGTGTGGTATTCCGTCATGCACTAACTAGTATCTTAGTTAACCCCACATCAATAAATCACAACCACCATTCTTATACACCTCCTATCAGATTAAACCAGCAGGTTTCGCAGCCATGCATCAATTCACATCAAAGACAACCTTTTGGAACCAAAATAGACCTGAGGTATCCTCTGTGACACCAAGAAAAATTAAACATCAACTAAGAACCCTTTCAGTGGCATGGAAGCAAGTGAACACACGACTAACCATGTTGTGCATGTATTGCGCAGGTAATTTGATTGAATAATCAAGAATTTATTAACAAGATGATATATTGGTTCGTGGTGACTAACAGTGGGATACATTATGCCTGTTTCGTCTTATTTGAGAACCATCACCTGTATTTGCTTGTATTTCTAGTGAGGGATGGTATTCCCAATGGAATTCATGCCCTTTACCCATCGTTTCAAACGCCAAAACATCACCCCCTCTAGGACCACGATAGCCAACTCTTGTACAACGGGTACCAGTTAATATTGATCTTTAGGTCAGGTCAGCGGGGACGGAGTATTTCAGTTCAACATATTCAATCAACGAGAAATGCAAATCAACACTGAGACATAATTTATCTCTTAAATAATTACAAGTTTATACGTTTCTTGGTTGATATTACTCTGATCAGATTCCAACAGATATTCCACAAAAAGTGGCGATTTTTCACGGACACACACACACACACACCACTGATAACCTATTTCTAAGTTATGTCTATTTTTGAAAGGAGGGCAGCAAACTGCTTGAAATTATTGCTGGTCAGGATAATCACCATTGTCTGTTGATCGCATATGTCTAGACGGTCGTTACTATCTCTTCTACAGCTGACTGGATATGATATGCCAGACTACGTTGGGTTGAGTTCTGTTATCATATTTAGACACGTGTCTAGTTCTTCCTAAATACAGACTTCATGTTCCTTTTTTGAAAGCTAGGTAGGTGGTGAGTACTTTATAACTGCTTGTCTTCCAACAATATACTTCCTCGAAATCATTCTACAACAGAAAATCTATGATAACTAACCACGAATAGCTTGACTCTACACCATATTTATGGTACAAGTATGGAATTTTCAGCATGTGATATCGATAGCCCGAATTTTGCAGGCCAACCATTAATAATATCGGGTGTGCGTCGACAGGGGGTCAAACCCCGGACCATGTGTGAATACTTCTGACACAAGTAAGGAGAATTGTGTAGATTCACTATATTGAGACCGGATGGAATGAAATAGGTAACAAAGTGTGTCTCAGAAATGCAACATACATCAAAAACACTCCACATGCCATGGTTCTGGTTAGCACAGACTTGTTGTACAACTCGACATAAAATTCAGAAGTTGAAAGTTCCCGTATGAAGTTGGCAGTGCAATTTCAAAGCGACTAGGAACAGTATTGCTTCGGTTAAAGTCGCTGGCAATTATCATGGAGTTAAAAGATGAAAACCTCCTCCTCTGAAGAGTAGTGTATTAACAACAGATGGTGAGTTCGAAGAGGTGATAGAACTTTGTATACTTTTCAAATGCGAGGGAGGTTGGCTACTTGACTACACAGCTTGTCAATTTTTGTAGGTGCCGCCTATAGATGAAATCCAGGCTCATAATGTTAAACAAAAAAACGCCAGATAAAAAAAGAAAGTGACTCTTTTTTATATATAATAAATTTGAAGTTTAATATTCTTAGCTGTGAAAGTACGGGGGCATGAAATTTTTTTAAGACTTACTGTATCAGATGTTCTTTTTAGAAGATAACTAAGTGACTCCTTATCACGCAACATTTGTTTTTGTTCCAATTTCGCTAATATATTCAATCGTATAGACTTATCCAGTTCTTGTTGGCACCTGTAAAAAAGTCTCTGTGTATGTGTTAATTTCGATTGCACACTTTGAAAGCTAGTGTAGAATGAATGAACAAAATCGAAGATGTTTATTAAAAAAAGGCGATTTACTAAAGAAAAAAATGTTATCCTGAAACAAATGTAACAAACTACAAAGTAATGAATGCATAAATGAGACGGTCATTGGATGTTTGTTCTAGATTACTGTTATAATGATTCCCCTCCCCACCCAACGCATCCTTCAAACTTCCCAGGATGATACGGCTTAATATTTTGCTTGAGGTAAACAGAAGTATGATGCCCTATCTCAGCTCGCAGGTACCTTCCCTTCCTTCCACGCTTAATGTAAGAGTGGCATCAGCGTATCTTCTGGGATTTCTCTGAATGTTCTGAATGCTTCTGGGGCTATTCTGTCTACACCTACACTACTTTCCCAGCCTTTAGTAATCTTATGGTCTTCAAGAGTTCCTTAAAGTGATCAACCAGGGTTTTCTCTGTTTTACATCATTCATATATGGATTACCTTCATTCTCTTTTACTGGCTACATTTGAGTTAATATCTCCCTGAACGGTGATCTGGTAATCTGACATAGTTAGATATATAATATAAGCATTTAAAATTGAGTTCAAAGTGAATTGCAAAAACTATGCGCTTGTGTACTGCTCAGCAGCCCGCTCCATCCTCCTTTGTGGCTGTGAAACCTGGCCATTAAAAAAGTGAGACATGAAAAGGTCGGCTGTCTGTCTGCGTTCTGTCTCACGTGCGAAGTGGTAGGTGTAATAAGGTGAGCAATATTGAGGTAAGACTTCAGTCGAGTGCTAGGGAAGGAGGGTAAATCAATCGACGAGGTTGTGAAGTTACACCGATTGAGATGGTTAGGACATGTATTGTCTGTCTGTTTTCGACGTAGAACTTTGCACAAATGTGCGGAAGTTCAAGTCGCCACATTCCGTGTAGCACGCGAAGCAAGAGAAGAAAGTACAAGAAAAGCATAATAGAAACAGTGAGCAGAGGTGTGAGACAAAGGAGTAATAAAGAAATACAAAACAGTTTCATTGAAGATTAGTCACAGGGAGTGGATGCATCTGCGCCACTGAGAACGATTTTGAGCCATGTCACCAATTGTTTCCAACCATAGATTTTTACCGTCCCGAGGACCCCAGCCTGGAAGTCTACATCTTCCTACATGGCTTAGACCAACTGTTGTGGATTTCATTGACTGATGCCAAGTTTTTGTTTGACCGCCGCTAGCTTTTTTCCAGCCTGACCCTATATCCGCTAACATTGCTCGTCGAGGGAGGCGATGGCTTGGCATACGTAACACATGTCCTAACCATCTCAGTCTTTGTAGCTTCACGACTTCGTCGATTGATTTCCCCTGTTTACCTAGAACTCTACGCCAAACCTCAATGTTGCTCACCTTATTATGCCACTTTACACGGGAAATAGAACGCAGGCTCCTAGGACATGTATTACGTATGCACGCCTAGTCATCGCCTTCCTCAACGGGAAATGTTGGCTGACATAGGGTCAGGTTGGAAAAGAGCTAGCGGCGGTCAAACAAAAACATGATCTTATCAATCAATGAAATCCACAACAGGAAATGCAATCTAGCCAGCTGCCATGTAGGAAGGTTTAGACTTCCCGGCTGGTTGGGGTCCTCGGGACGGTAAAAACCAATGAAGGCTGGAGACAATTGGCGATATGGCTCTAAATCGTTCTCAGTGGCTCAGATGCATTCACTCCTTTTGACTTATAATACCCAATAAAACTATATTGTTCTTTGATATAACTATTCTTTTTGCCTTATATTACTGTTTACTGTCACTATTTTGCATGTTTTTTTACTTTCTTCTCTTGCTTTGTGTGCTGCATGGAATGTGGCGACTTGAACTGCTGCATATCGCTGCGAAGTTCTATGTTGAAACCACTAAGTCAGTCAGTCATGCGCATAAGAATTGTAACACGATTTAGATAAACAATATATGGTTATTTGATATAATGTTGTGAGCTCTGTAGCCTGTTCTGTTTCAGAATCCAGTATCTCGTAAATGCGTCTTTTGTGTTTCCTATAATTATGCTTCACTCACTTTGTTTATTGCAGTGCATTGTAGCTTATACCGAAATTGTGCTTTAATTAAGCACTGAATTGATTCATCTTTTGCTTCATCAATCTTCTTTTTTTAATCAGCTCCCAGGTGTGTCGATAGAGTTGTACCTTGTTATGCATTTTCTTACTACCCAGGTATTTCTACACTGCACCTATGTATTTTTATTTTTGATTACAGCTTGATTCTACACCGTATTTTTGGTACAGGCATGGAATTTTCAGCATGTGATATCGGTAACCCAAATTTTGCGGGCCGACCATAAATATCAGGTGTGCGTCGGCAGGGGATCGAACCTCGGACCATGTGCATGATCGGTGAGAGTCCTAACCACTGTGCCACCGACGCACCGATCCTATAATCATTGGAGGGTATTGCACAAAAAAATTATTCTATTGAATTGGCTTCACGGAATCCTTCACAAATGGCATAATTTCTTCCTAAATGAGTTGGCATATTTGCATGCCAGTCGCTCTTACTCCTACCTTGTTACGAATCTGACGCAACGATTCAAAGGTGGTTGCATTTGTGTCGCAGCACTACCGATGTTTTAAATTCCTTCTTCTTGGTGTTGTTATCCTTCTGTGCGTGTTTGTCATTCACGTACTCCTCATTATTATTATTATCCTATCTTTATAATTCCCTGCATATTTCCTGACTAATTCGTTAGGGTAGTTGCTAAGCGCTAAAGTTCTTGTCATACGCCCCACTTTCTAACGCAGACATTCTCTGGTATTACACTCCAGAGGTCACCTAGTAAATAAGGCTGCTTCACTGTTAACAAATTAAACACGAACTAAACACGATCACAGTGTTAGATTTTCACACACGTGTAGTATAATCATTTTTGAGAAGAGCCTTCAGAATGACCTTCGTCGCACTTACGTCATGCTGATCGTTTCTCAGTTGAATGATACTTATTCTTCTAAATAAAGATAAAATGTCTAGTTCCGCTTCGTTCATGTATAATATTTACAAGCTTAACTGCTTCTGTAGAGGTAGTTACACTGACAGTATACGATTAGGCAGACCACAGAGAATAGGACGAGATGGAAGCGTCCTGTTGAAGCTCTAATTTCCACTCAGAACCCAAGGGAATAATAATAATAACACCAGTCCAAATTATATATATATATATATACATCCAAGTGAAATCCGTATACCACTTTTGTTTGCTGTCATCATGTACATAATGCCATAAATGACGTTTATCGCCATCCTACTGACTATTTATTGATACTACTATTATGTATTTATAATATTATTCTTTCAGCTAATTCATTTCTTCTTTTTCATATGTAATTATTCACAAATTCACGCATAAATTTATCTCGATTATCACTATTTTCAATAGTTTGGTTTGTAAGGGTTAGTTTGGTTTTTACGAGTTGATTACAGATTGATATCAGTTAGAGAACCATTGGAAACCAGCGTTGGAGTACTGGACAGCTGTTTCATCCTAGTTCGACAATCATCGGCAGTACACTCCCACTGCCAGGGTTCGAACTCAGAACCATCCGATTACAAGACAAGCCGGGTCGTATACCATTCAGCCACTGGGACCCGATTCATTGGCCAATCCGTGATTCAGCGCGAACCCAACCATCGTCGCTGATGGGACATCCATCCTCACATGTTGCATCTAATTGGACCTCACTGGTCACGACTTCTCACTAGAACTCCAGTAAACTCCATTCTGTAGCAAGTCACTAGCGACCATCAGATTAATTTTCTATAGTTTGGTTGTAAGGGTTAGTTTGGTTTTTACGAGTTGATCACGGATTGATATCATTATTTAACAAACTATCAATTACATAACAACTACATCATTAACTCCTATAAATCAACTTTATATCTGTATAAGTTAATTTTATCTCTCAACTGTGACCTTGGTTTTTGCAACTATTATTATACCTTGAATAAATTATTTCATTGAACAAAACATTCTCATTGACAAATATAACTTCACTGAATTATCTTTAAAAGCTACATATTAGTGTTAGGTGGGTGGTGAAGAACTTATCGATAAGGGACACATTTCTAAATTCAAATGAGAGATGATTTGCAAGAATTTGATTGGTTACACGTTCCATCATGAGCAAACACTAGTTAGAGAATCATTGGAAAACCACCGGGGACTACTGGACAGCTGTTCGTCCTAGTTCTTGGGACTCTTCAGTACGTGCCCACCGGGGTTCGAAGTCAGGACTTTTCCGCTACAAGGCAACCTCGTAAACCATTAAACCACTGGGACTAAACGCTATGCTCCATGAATTTCAACTTCTGCCAATTCGTGAAATATACTTGGCACAACCGCCAGTGTCATAGGCAAGTAGCTATTCTCTTGCATGAATTGATGGACCCCACCGTTGACGACAAAATAATATAATTTACAAAATACCCTGCAATCACTGTGGGGTCAACTACATAGGTCAAACTAGTAGGTCGGGGATAGTTAGATTGTCGTAACATAAGAATTTAGCTAGGGTTAGAATGGCTGACCTCGAGAAGATAAGTTATTTAGGAAAAAACTCAGCAATTACACCACATCCATTAACAGTAGGGTGGGAGAGGGTTAAAATTCTAAGAAGCAATAAAGGTAGGTGGAGATAAAGAGAGATTGGTTACTGAATCCTTGTCCATTGAGTCTACACCCAACACATGGAACAGAAATGACTCAATGTAGATACCAGAAATATGGAAGATAATATTACCACCAGTCAAATCAGAGGAGAATAATAAATAATGTTAAAATGTATTCAATTTAGATTATAACATTCTAACAAATTACTTATTTTTACCGTAAAAAACATCTTATTTCCCATCTGATTGTACTTGATTGGTAACACTAATATTGTGATGAGAGCTGGCTGTTAGCCGAAATTGGTGGACAGTAATTTACGTCAATGTTTATGTCCCCAATATTGGTCGTGAGGAAAATTTTTTATTTTTTTTTTCATTTACAGCTTGATTCCACACTGTACTTTTGGTACAAGTATGGAATTTTCAGAATGGATATCGGTAGCCCAAATTTTGCAGGCCGACCATAGATATCAGATGTGCGTCGGTGCGGGCTCGAACCCCGGACCGTGTGCATGGTCGGCGAGAGTCCTAACCACTGTGCCACCGAGAACAAAGGCTTTGCGTAGGCGGATACAGTTAACATATAGATGATCTGACATTCAAGAAACAGCCACAAAGAGATGCAAGGTCAACTTTCTGTGAGAAGCAACCAATCAGATGACTGTTTTTCTGCTAACAATAATCTATAATAATGTACATGAAAATCTATAAGTATGTGTTGATTTCCTTAATAAACGATCTGTTTGGCTGACCCTTGTCTTCTGTTGTTACAATATTATTTCTGAATGTACATTATCCTATATTGATTTGTATTCGAATATCTGATCACCAATTTCACTCATGTATATAAATGAAGAAAGAAAGTTGTGTGAGTGGCTTGATATGATTATGAGTGCTCGACCCGTCACCAGTTAATATTACTGTATAACAGCATTGTGCGATTTACCAAAATAAAATCTTATCCACAATGGAGGCATGACTTCTCTGTGACCAAGCTTTAGCAGGTGAAATAAGACGAACACCGCAAATAAAAAGGGAGATTATATAAATATTTTACAATAGGACAACAATTAGTTGGTTTACTTGAAGAATTCTAATCATTTTCTTGAGTAGAGTGAATATTATTATTATTATTATATTACTGTTAAGATATCACTCTGCGACAAACTTCCTGAAAATAAAATGCCTTAACTACTGCTACGTCAGCAATAAGAAAATATGGTGAAAAACAACCAAAGCCTACCTTAACTCAGTCTTCTTACAATTATCAAGACTGTTTCTATAAGAAGAAATGAGTCTTAAAACCCCTTCAACAAAGTTGCTCATGATAACTTCCAATTGTCCGGCCTCTATTTTTAAAATTTTTGTATAACCCATAGCTTCGAATTCCTATAAAACACAAAATTACTTAACAATAGTTCACACAATAATATATATATATATAAGTATACACAGAAACTCATTGATGATATATGAAAATGTACACAAATAGAAATGTGACACACATGAAAGAAAATTTAAGCTGACACGAATATACTGTGAATATAAATAGGATTAGTAGGATGGAATTTAGGTTAATGCACTCAGATTTTAGTAACTTATGAACATGTATAGTAAACAACTCAACACATGAGTTTTTGGAAAACCTAGGAGTTCTGGACAGCAGTTTCGTCCTGGTTTCGACTCTTTACAAGTATGCACACCACCAGGGTTCGGACTCAAGACCTTCCGGTTGTGAAGCGACCTTGTAGACAATTAAGCCACTAGGATCCAACCCAATGGTCCATGAATTAAAACTTCTAACAGTTCATGATATATATTTGGCGTGACCGCCAGCCAGTGTCACAGGATGAAGAGTCCCAGACCGGGACGAAACAGCCGTCCAACAACCCCAGGTTTTCCAATGGTTTTCTAATTGACGTCAGCTTGTCACCAATCCCTGCAAATGAAAACTTGATAATTAATATGATGGTCACTAGCGACTGGCTCTATACAGGAAGTTGTAACCAATAGGACCTGCTGATTCAAGCAGGGGGATAGTTGCTCGCCCGTTGACACTGGTTGGCGGTTGCGCTAAACATATATAACGAATTGTTAGAAATTGGAACTCATGGGCCATTGGGTCGGGTCTCATTGGCTTAATGTTCTACGAGGTCGTCTTGTAACCGGAAGCTCCTGGGGCTAAATCTCATGTTGGTACGTACTGCTGAAGAACCAGATGTGTCATACCCTCTGGTTTTTTTAATGACTCTAACTAATGTTAGATAATGTTAGTTCATGAATAATTCCCATTCGAACATTAGTAGACAGAAGACAAGTAGTTCAGCGAAGAGTCTTTTTTCGGCGAATTCATTTTCATAGCTGTACCATCACCTGTTGCTGTGGAGCCAGGTACATCGGTCGTTCAACGCGCATCCTGTCAAAAAGGGTCAAAGAACACTATCCAGCGTGGCTACAGAAAGGAAATAATGGCCATATAAGGAGTGCAATAATCGAACATCTCGTCAACACTGGTCATTCCATCTCAACGAACGCCTCCTTCAAAGTAATCTACAAAGTGAAGAACAACCTTCCAAAGACAGTACGATTCCGTCTTCTTTGCATTGCAGAAGCCCTAGCCATCCAGCTGGTGGAACCAGAACTATGCATACGAAAGAAAATTATCCACCCACTTCTACTCGCATGGTAACAACTCCGTTGATTTGACCTAACTTTTCTTTGTTTGTTTGATTTGACCTTACTTCTGTTTGTATGCTTATTTTTCTAACTTAAAACCCTTGTGTAATTCTGTATATTATTTTGTTTCCATGTTCACCCTTTGAGCACAACTCATTCATCAAACTATTCATGCTATTACGTAACTCTTATTTAACAATCATTTATGACAAATCATCACTTTTGTTACTATCCTCTTACCAACATCCAATTCATCTGAACTCACTAATTGTATTTTCGTTTGACAAATTTAATGTATACACACACATACACACAAAATAACCACATATATTTGCGATTGTACAGCTATGAAAATGAATTCGCCGAAAAGATAATGTTAGACCAAACTTACAGCCAATCAAATCCATGGAAACCAACACACGTGAATTTCTAACAATGCCAACTAAGTATATATGATGTATTTTTCACAGTACGCAAATAATTTTGAACTGATAGATTTTTGATAAGTCAAATTTAACATTGAGACTATTTTTCATAATACAAGCATAACAAATTATAAGTCAGTCACTAATTAATGTTTTAAATTTATTATGGGCATCTTTAAACAATTCAAATATTAGTGAAACTTTTATCTATTTTTGCGGTGTCATGCTTGCAAGAATGCAGCAGAGGCAGAGTCGAAATAAAGTCGAATTCGGTTCATTCATCTCGTTTATTTATACATTTTTTATTCCTTTGCGTTCCGAGTGAAACATATGGCTTCAAGCTAGAGCTTTGAAGTTTCAGTAGCAGTGGTTTTATCTTTAGAGGATGAGGTGGCTAACTTCACACTTAATCTACCTTCTTTACCAAGCTTACTGACAAAATGCAGAGTCTTCTGAACACCTTGAGCAGCAATCTTCGTATGTTTGGCATGCGATTCGCCCCTACAAAATGTAAGATGCTGCTACAGGACTGGACCACGTCAACTCCTAACTTAGTGATAGGGAGTGAAGTGATACAACATGTTGACCACTTCACCTATTTGGGAAGTTGTATCAGCACCAACGGACTGATTGGCGATGAAATCTCAGCACGGATCCGAAAAGCTCGAGCTGCTTTCGCTGACTTACACCATCTCTGGCGTAGGCGTGACATCCGGTTATCAACCAAGGGACGTGTGTACTGCTCATCAGTTCGCTCCGTCCTTCTCTATGGCTCTGAAACATGGCCAATACGCGTTGAAGACATGAAAAGGTTGACTGTTTTCGATCATAGATGTCTGCGATCCCTGTCTCACGTTAGGTGGTTTAATAAGGTAAGTAATGTTGACGTTAGGCGTAGAGTGTTGGGCAAAGAGGGAAAATCAATCGACGAAGTTATAAAGTTACATAGATTGAGATGGCTAGGTCACGTGCTGCGCATGCCTAACCACCGCCTCCCCCGACGGGGATTACTAGCTGATATAGATAGGTGCAGATTGGAAAAGAGTAAGTGGTGGCCAAACAAAAACATGGCATCAATCCATGAAGTCCGTGACAGTTAAACTGAGTCAGGTAGGGAGATGCAGACTCCCGGGTTGGGGGCCTCGGGACTCTAGGAATCAATGGCTGGAGACAATAGGTGACATGGCTCAAAGTCGTTGTCAATGGCCAGCGCAGATGTATTCAGTCTCTGTAATCTTTCATATTCCTTTCTACCATTACCCATTCTGTTTCACTCTTATACTTGTCAAACTCTATTGATTCTCTTCACTCATCTTCTTGTCTACCTCTGTGTGCTATTTGGAACGTGGCAACTCGAAGTGCTGCACTTCGGTGCCAAGCTCTATGTTGAATCCAGACAGACAGACAGACCAAGCTTACTACTACCGGCTTAGTGAGATTCAGGGGTGCGCCGGTCAAGGTCAGGGATTGAACCCTGAACCATGTGTATAGCGTAGTTGGGGAGAATTCTGTCTCTGAACCACCGGTCAATCCATTGTGTATTTCAAATCTGAACTTTGGGCGATTACTTACTTTTACTTTACTTCGGCTATCTCCTACGGAGGATGAGCCGGCTTCATGAACATCTCGAATCATTGCTGCCCAGGTGCGGCGATCTGATCCAAGGTTTTGCGACAGAGTTATCCAATTCTTGTTCCACAGACGGAGTCCGTAGACGGTTTGTAGCCCCAGGCACTCCATATCAACCTTGACTGTACCAAGCCATGTTTTCAGCTGTCCACCCCCCGCTGCGACATCGCCAAGATGGAAATGGAGAGGGATTTAGAACTGATTTGACCAGATCGTCATCTGGTCGGCGCAGAACATGGCCAAACCACCGAAGGTGCCGTTGTTGGACCAGTACTGGAATTTGGTTGATGTTGTAGAGAGTTCATGAAGTTTCATGGGAATTAGGTACGAGTGATGTCCCCAGAATCGCTCGGCCTTTTGTTTGAGAGTGCAGCTCTAGCCTTTACACAGCCAAGTGTGACCTACAAGGCAGTAGGAGTGGAGTAGGGAGTCCACTATGCATTGGCAGCCGGTGACTGGAGTCCGGTTCATACGCCTTTTTGAATGGGGCCAGACATCCAGGCCATCCAATAAGCCCTTTATCCATACGTCTGCCGGTGAGCTCCGGTGAGCTTCATACGCCAGTCGTTGGAGGTTTGGAATCAGGGTTTAGCCATCTCCCCTAGACTGTCATCCAATGGACAGTCAACCCGGTGAAGAGTGCCGGGCATCCGCTTTTGCCCTCTCACTTCGGTGAAAAACACCTCCGCCACGTGAAGGCAGTGAGTAGGACTTCCTCAGGAGAGGCTATGTAAGACGCCCGGTCATATAAGAGCATTTCAAGAGGTGTATGGAGGGGTGGCCAACCCGCAGCGCAAGGCACCCACCACCGACCATTCTGAGGCTTTGGAGGCATTGCTTACAACAGACCACAATAACATTCAAGATATTAACAGCTATAATTTAGCTTGATAAATATCATAAGCTCGTATACCATTCAGCCACTGGGACCCGATTCGATGGCTCATGAATTCTAACTTCTACCAATTCGTGATTTAACGCGACCCCAACTATCGTCGCTGGTGGGATATCCATCCACACACGTGACATCTAACTGGACCTCACTGGTCACGACTTCTCACTAAAACTCCAGGAAACTCCATCCTGTAGCAAGTCACTAGCGACAATCGGATTAATTTTCTATAGTTTGGTTTGTAAGGGTCGAAACCCAGTGGGTGCGTACTGGTGACGATTGCTCACCAACTTATAATCGATATGGTTGTTGATCTATGACCACAAATTAATTACTTCCTTATACTTCTCAGAAGAGTACTGCAGAAACTATTCACCTTGGTCAAGATGATACAAATGCTACAAAAATTATTAGCAGCGCTAAGGCATAATTTTGTTGAAGGCGACAACAATCTTCCAATTCACACACAGCCGCTTTGTCGAAATTCTATGTATACCTCACAAACAAGTTGCACTTCTATGTAGGTGACATCTATTGTGTGGGCTAGTAATACTACCAGGTAGAAAAAACACCGATAGGTGGATAGAATTTTGAGTCTATGGCTGATTGATTGATTAAAGTCAAGGACCTGAAGTAATGCGTCTTACCCCCGCTTATTACAATGATCCTGTTTGCGATATGCATGTACACACAGTAGTATTAATCTAGTAACAAATTCAAAAGAAACCTGGTTAACTAAAATATCTTACATTATTTCAGGCATTTTTTAACTACCTTATAGATAAATTCAAAAAAGAGCACCTAATTCCTAGCATACCCTACAACCTTATGAAAAGCAGCAACACAATAAATTTATCTTTAGACACACAAAACAATCACTTTCCAAATAAATGCTTCATACTTACGGAATTGATCAACCGGACAGTGGACTCCAGTTGGCTGTGAGGAGTGACAGCAAAACTATCGGAGAATAACTTTAGATCCTTTTGCGTGGACGGTATGGCAATAATTGGCCGATTATTTTCATCTGAATTTTTAAAGTGGTTCGATGAGGGAACACGTGCCATTCCGAAATGTAAGACTCCTCCTATGAAGCACAGAATTAAACAGCGATCCTATACTAACTGAAAGGTGAAACGAAAAAGCAAAAGCGTGCATTTGATTATGTGAAGATGCACGTGAAACCAGGAAGCAAGAATGCAGACGAAAAAATTACTTTTTTCACACATACACACACAGTTAGGGTTTACCTAGCTGGAAGGAATTCTCCATATAACAGAATTTGAACCAAACTTACCTTGCGAGAGCTGAAGTATATCGAACGGGATTCGAATCGAGTGAGTGAAATGCCTTGGAAAAAAAGCCGGCTCCTCTGAAAACGCATACATCCACTTCAGATGATTAATTTTACACATTTTTACCAAACGATAGATGGTCCATCTTTTGTAACAACCGAAAGCTGATTGCTTTTAGTTTCAACAAAACACGTGATCTCAAGATGCTTCAAAACATTAGCTTGCTGCCCTCAAGCAATAATATGGCAGACATACGGTGCCAAAGCTCCCCAATAACTATATTACTGTCTTTAGCGCTCTATAGAACGCTGTAAAAGTTCGTGCCACATAAATTCAGTGGAGCTAGTTTACAGGACGGTCTTATGACGACCCTTTTCATTTCGCCAGTTTTTGAATCAATGCAGATTGCACGTAAACGTGCATCCGGACAACGACTTCAGCTAAGGTGACACAAATCTGGCTTATTTAAATGCGTCCATCAGTCGTGATTTTGTACACCAACCATCAAAACCAAAATAAGGTTGAAAACGCAACATGACGCACAGAAAAATGTCCCAGCTTAAGCAAAAAGAGAAGCGTTGATTCATTTCACATAGATTACTACAAACATACGATATTACAAGACAATCAACAAGTCCTTGGCTCCATCATTCCAATCTGCGTTTTTACTAGAAACACGTAAGGAAAAACGCGGTTCAGATGGCGAATGACAGTCTATAACGTTTGCGATAACCATGACGACTAGACAACATATGAATGCATACTTCCGTTTCTGATCTAGGCACATTTGTTACCATTCTCTGTATTATATTGACTTTTTTACATGTTGACTGAGCTTCTTTTATTTTCTGAGTGTTTTCTAACTACGTTGTTAATCTTTGAGTATTTTAACCGCCCCAAATAAAAGTGACTACGGGCACACTGCAAATACGTTCCACATCTCAGTGTGTGCTCGTTTTGGATGTTTTCTGTCTGACAATTTTGCTAGCCAGGGTAATTTAGATAGATATTTGGTACAAAAGTCACCTATTTTCTCCGTTTAGTTGCATTAATAACTACACAAGAGTCAGAAAAACCACTAAAGAAAGAATAGACATCCTTCAAATCTATATACTTCCTTAAAAATAAAACGCACTTTTACTTTTGTACTACCAACTACTATCACCCTAGAATTCACATGACCTAGATGAAGTTCTAGTCAGTCGAACACGCAAAACTGTGTTGTAGTATAAAAGGAGGACAGTCGGTCGTACTTTCGAAAATCTACACGCAGTCTGACCAGGAGCAAAACTCATTTGAAGGATTCTGGCTAACTTTGCGACCAAAGATTGCTACAATCACAGCATTCAATGTTCAATGGGTTCGATCTCAAAATACATCGTCATTTCGTTTGGCCCAAAGAGCGAAATCTTATAGATACGAATTGGCTGGAGCATGACACAAACACAGCAATCGCTATGGAAATATGACAGGAATGTAATGTATAAACTCTAGGAACTGCGAAAATGATAACCCTGTTGAGGGAACTTTACCCACTTACGAAGACATCGTTTTCAATTATTTTCAAGTCCAACACAGTAACTAATTAACTGAAAATGGAGGTAAAAATAAAATGCAACATAACAAATATATGTGATTAGTGTAAGACACTAAAATAGAGCTGAAAAGAAGGGAAGTTAGAGAAAACAGAGATCCAACTGAGCGGGAATCCTGCATTTCGTGATATCACGAAATGAAATACAAAGAGCATAGAAAATGACTTCACATGAAGGTTGTTCACAGTCCACCATGCTTAATTATATTCGTGAATAGTAACTCCCAATTATTACAGTCAAACGGAGCGTATCTCTTCCCGCGAAGGATGGATACAAAAATGTGATTGGAATGCCCAGCTAGCATTTTTTTCGGGCGCATTGCAGAATTTTTGGGGCAAACATTGGGCAAATTGCAGAATGTTTGGGGCAAACTTAGGGCACATGAACACGTTTCAGTCTCAGTACGCTAACAGACAAACGTAACTCACTGCCCTTTGTTTTCTTCTCCTGAAAGGAAGAAAATGAAACAGTATGCACTACTCTACCTGCGTGCGTCGGTGGCACAGTGGTTAGGACTCTCGCCGACCATGCACATGGTCCGGGGTTCGAGCCCACGCCGGCGCACACCTGATATCTATGGTCGGCCTGCAAAATTTGGGCTACCGATATCCATTCTGAAAATTCCATACTTGTACCAAAAATACAGTGTGGAATCAAGCTGTAAATCAAATATATATATATATCAGTTCCTACTTTAGTCACAAATGTGAACCTCAAGGTCAAAACACCCCAATTCCTACAAGCCGCGAACACCTACTGTATACAAAACGAAGGCGTATAAACAACCATGCAGTCACTTTTAACATATAATTTTAAATCATGGAATTTAAAAATTGTTCACTAATACATGCATTTGAGATGCTAAGCTAACAATATTCAATATCGTTGGTAAATGTTTATATGAAAAATTGTACTTCGTGAAGTTTACCAGACCACTGGTTTCCTAGCCGACTCCAGGTCCTGCAAAGTAGAGATGGTTGAGAATGCAGCAAGAGACTCTTCCCCAGGAAAACCAGTCAGTAAACTTCAGCGTTATATATTAAAAATAGAAATTACGTAAATAACCAATTTTGTCTTCAATGGAATCCGAGTGATAAGATGTGGGTTGGTAAACGACTTCGGAAAGTCAGTCAGCACAGGATTATGGAATGTTCGCAAAATTTAGGAGGTTGCAAAGGCTCTCTAAGTGGCCACAGAAATGAGAAAATATGGCACAGAGGGGCTTTAATCTGCGAGAGCAGGTGGAATACATGTGGACTGTCAAAATTTTCAACTGAAGATTCAGTTATCTAATCCAGTCAACCAGAAGACAACCACGAGCAAATCAAGGCATTGAGCGGACATCATAGCGTCACTAACGGAAGCCGAAGCTCCTGTGCAGTGTGAACTTACGTCATTCAAGATAGTGGCACAAAGAATTGAATGAAAAGGAATGAAAATTACACCTATGATAACTTGGGACAACAGTAGAAATAAAAATTTCTATGGACAACTGAGAATGGCAATGGATAACATCCCAGATGGAGACATCGAAATCCCAATGGGTGATACAGCTGATGAAGTGGGGACAGACAACACAGGGAGAGAACTCATCATAGGTCGAGAGCCTCTCGCTCGGGGGAATGGACAAGGATGGAGAACTCTTCTCAGACTTCTGTTCACTCAATGATTTGGTGATTGGAGTTAGCGTGTACAATCACGGGTATATGCAGAAGACGACACGGGTTTCAGCTGGCGGATACACGGAAAAGCAGTTAGACTTCATCTCAATAGTGGTGAAGGAAGTGGAGATTCAGTCAGTCTGATGGACACATAGTTGAGAAAAGGGGAGCAGATGTGGACTCACAACACTATCTAGTTCAAGGAAGCTTGAAGATCAAGTTGAGAGCTTCTAAAGCAACTAGAGATAAGGCACAGTACAGTTGAAGTTCCACACTGAGAAGCTGAAGATCAAGACTACAAGGGACGTCTTGACTGCAGCTATTAAAGGAGAGTCGGAGACATTATGTAGCTTCAGTGAAGGGACAGAATGGTTTGGAGGAAGATCTCAACTCTTTGAAGGTGATATTCGAGGAAAGGTGTGGAACTGTTTTAGCAGGAAAGAAGAGGGAAGACAAGGAATGGCTGTCAACGGACACCCACCTGGTAGCAAACAAAGGAGAGGAGAGGAGAGGGGGACGATGAAAGAGAAGATGACTTGTTGCAAAGATGGGCAACAGGAGGAGAACCTGAGAGCACAGCAGTGTACACTGCACTGAATAAAGATAGTAAGTGTGCTGGGGAAGACAAGCGATAATCCAGAAGCAGAATGGGCAAGCCACAAGTAAAAGAGAACTGAGAACATTGTATCACATAACCAGGTCTGTATCGGGAAATGGATCAACCCAAATGATGATGTTCAAGAGGACCTGATTACTAGGGAGAGGAAACAAATAAAAAACGGGCAGATCAGTTCAGAGAGTCATTGAATCGAACAACACCTGCAAGTTGCCCAGAAATACCACCACCAACGGCACACAAGGAACTGCCGGCCAGTGGACACCAATCTTTCAAAGGAAGCAGAAATCTTGTATGCGATCAAGCCACTGTGAGTCTGTCGTGAAGGCAGTAAGGCCAGACGAAATTCTCTCCGAAGCACAGAAAATCTATTCAGATGTCGCCGAGGGTATTCTCACGCCACTATTGCGAAAGGCTTGGAAGAAAGGCTACCTTGTCAAACGACTAAAGAAGGGTATCTTATGCCTCTTCAAGAACTGGCATGGAGTTATGCTCTTGTCCACGCCAAGTGAAATACTAAAACGCGTCATCTTATAGATACTAAAGGATGCATCAGATACACAACTCCGACCTGCCGGTCCAAGCCAGATTCAGAATAGGCAAACCACGTACTGATCGGATTGCAACCCTGAGCTTTGCAATCGAAAAAAAGAACATAGGATGGCAGTCAAACGTGTAACTTCAGAGTGTCGACATCGAAGAGGGCTTCACCGGCGCAAACACTGTGGCGTGCCACAAGCCTTTATCAAACTCATTCAACAGACTTCTAAATGACATTATCAAATGCAAAGTATTCCACAAAGGAATATTCAGTGATGCGTTTGAGGTAAAAACAGGAGCTGGACAGGGCTGAGTACTATCATCGATGATATTCTTAACTGTAGTGGACTGGATCATGAGTCAGACTCCGCGTTGGCAATAAGAAGAGGGGAACACAGTGGACTATCGAAAAAGAAGACTCTGAGAGATCTGGATTTCGCGCCTGGATGATTAATGTTCAATATCATACAAGCTCGAAGACCAAGCAACTAAAAGCAACGAGAACCAGCACCAGTCACAGTCAACGGGAGAAATTTAACGGAGATCACTTCTCATGGAAGCATCATTTCAACTACAGGCTGCTGGAACGGATAAAGTTGTTTAGGCTAGTCGGAAGCGAAAAGTCAGGGTACGCCATTTGGGGAGCTGACGGTGTTGACGTCCACGGATAGTACGAAGTATACTAATGCAAGATCTAATACACACAGCTGCTATAGTGTTCGTTCCGCGTGGACCAAAGGCAAAGTAAACACCAGAATTGATCGTCCAAATTACGAAGTATATTTCAGGACCGAATCGGAGTGAGAGATGGTTGCTTAGATATCAAGGGATCGTGCAAGGACGAACGTAACACGACGGCGTGCCAAGTGGCGTGGATGCTTGACTGAAAGCCTTCAGCTAAACAAATTGACTTAAACAGTGACGGTCAGCATCCGATGTTCAGTGATGAATGCTGTGGCCAATAATTCTGCAGAATTACCTACCGCTACAAAGTCATTGCTATAGGCTTTACACAGAGCTTCCTCTTAGAAGTGCGGAGAGACCAAATACAACGGGCTCTCATAGTAATAATGATACTAACAGTACAGGCAATGAAAGCAACTATAAGGACTTCCATATTAGTTTGTTTATTAGATGTATCACACAGTGAAACAGTATTGTTTACTGGACAAAAATTAAATCAAAGTTTACTGTAATTAGGCAGTATCTGTTTATTTTTCTTGTAAATTCCCTCAGCAGTACGCATCCACCGGAGTCCGAACCCGGTAACCTCTGGTTACAAGGAGAGCTCGTGTACCATTAAGCTACTGGGATGCAAGTTCGCCTTGTAACCAGAAAGTCCTGGGTTCGAACCCTGGTGGACGTGCATTGCTGAGGAGTAATAAGCATTGGTACGAAACAGCTGACCAGCAATCCCAGGTTTACCAGTGGTTCTCTAACTGATGTCAGCTCATGATGGAATCCTCCAAACAGTCTAACAAAATCCCTACAAAACCAATACCTGAAAATAATTTTGTCGATAATGCAGGTATTATGAACAAAGGAGAAACAAATGTATAGAAATATTTATCTATATATGGGGTCATTAGTGTGTTGTGTGCGTTATTTGACTAAACTGCCATACACGTATATTCTAGTATTTTTTCGCTCTTATTAATGTGCGCACACGTTGTGGCTACTCGACGCCCACAACGTAAATCAAAAGGCACTTGCGAAGAGTACGATCGTGTATTATAGCAGTAGTCAAATTCCGAAATTGTGTCAAGGTAATATTCAGCAGTAAATTGACAAATGTTTGCGAAGTACATATAAAATCGGTCTGTATACACATATAATACAAGTATACAAATTAGATTAAAAAGCATGTTTACAGTTGGTATAGGGGTACTACATAATTCCCCCACCAGAACACTAAAATATAAAAAAATACATTTGAGTGTTCGAAAATAACATGCGTCAGCGTAATACGTAGCAGCGATAGTATACAGAAGGCGATTTATTGAGCTGAAAAATGAGCAGTTTAAAGCGGTTAATAAAATCGATAGTAAGTGCGATAATCCAGGCAAAGTAGGATTGCTACTCACAATAGAACATATAAGGAACGATTAAATTGTCCGGGGATATGTAGTCGGTAGACGAAAACGATACGTGAATAGTAAGTGAGATGTGATTAAATGTAATAATACCGGAAATATCAATGTTAAAATAGTAGTGACATGATTTATGTATCAAAATATTAATCAGTTAAATTAGTAGTCAAATGACAATTACGAATAAAGATAATAAAAATGAAAATTCGTAGTAAGTTATATTTTGATGACTTGCACGTAACGTTTAGGCCAATGGGCTCGTCTACCAAATCGTGTTGTTTTCGCCGGTTTCTCTGTCGACGTTGAAGCCTGTGTGGATGTAGGTGTTGGCACATCGTTCAGCTGGTCCTTATCGCTGACTTCGAAATCGTCGAGGAACGCTGGTTTGACTCTTTGCCAGGACAAGCAATTTCGTGTCCATTTCTTAACGTCGCTGTTAATGTTCGACCGGATAAATCTTTTTCTTAGTAGCTTGGTAGTAGCGCTCACACCAGGTTGTGACAAGTTATGTAACTTCTCGAATGCTGTATGTCTCATAGCTATTGGAACGAAAGGTCGATATTTACCGGTAGAGGTGTCGCAGATAACTTCGGTCGTGCCAAA